GTGCACAGCACAGTGATTTTTAGGAACGCATGTGTTACCTTATAGCAGAAGTGACTGTATGTCCAGTGGATAATTCAGAAAAGCAAACTGTATGTTGGCATATATAGTATAAACCCATTTTTTCTTAAAAATACATTTCATGTGTCTGCAGGCATGTGTGTATACATACACACACACCTGTAAAATTTTAGAAAAATGACTGAAAGAACTTTCAAATAGTTAATAGTGGTGCCTCTGAAGGCAAGAAAACAAGTGACTCTCATTTTAAACTTTGTTTTTTACTTAGATACAGTGAACTGGTGTTATCTCTGCAATTAAAAAAAAATTTCCTTTTAAAACCAAAGAAAAAAATTAACAAAGAACAAATTTTTAAAAAAAGAAAGAAAAAAAAAAACAAATCTGTTTCAACATTAAAAGTGTTGAAAAGAGAATTATATAATCTGATTGTGTGATTCCCCTGCTTAAAGTCCTTAATATTAGATACTCAAACTCCTCAATATTTATGAAGAACCTGGCCCTTCCTAATTCTACAGTTTCATCTCTCACTTTTCCTCCCCTCCTTTATCTGCTCAACTAAGATTTATTTATAATCTTCTATACACAGGCACTGGGGATAAGGCAATGAACAACCAAATATGGACCCCACTCTCACAGAGGCTTGAATCTAATAACAGAGACTTCAACCAACAAGAGAAAAACTGCATCTAAAATTACTTAATTAGGGCTTCCCTGGTGGCTCGGTGGTAAAGAAGCTGCTTGCCAATGCAGGAAAGATGGGTTCGATCCTTGGTCCAGGAAGATCCCACAGGTCAAGGAGCCAGCTTAGCCCATGGTCCACAACTACTGAGCCTGTGCTCCAGAGCACGGGAGCTGCAATCGCTGCGCCCACACGCCCTGGAGCCCACGCTGCACAGCAGCAGCAGCCGCCTCAATGAGAGGCCTGCACACGCAACTACAGAGCAGCCCCCACCTGCGGCAGCCAGAGAACGGCCTGCACAGCGACGAAGACCCAGCAGAGCCAAAAACACATAAATAGGTAACTACTTAACTAGAAATCTGGCATCACAAAGTGGAAGCAGCCAGGCTCAGGGACCAGGAAAAAGCTCCCCTGGAAAAGAGAAGGGATGTTTACTCTGAGAATTTAAGGATGAGTCAGAGTGGAGCTGATTGAGAGAGACCAGCACTGCAGGCAAAGAGAATGTGTCATAGCCAAGGGCCAGAGAAGAGGCTGGGCCCTTCAAGGGAGAAGCCAGGATAGCCAGAGAACAAGAACAAAGTGGTGGGCGGGCGCAGTGGAGAGGTATAAAATAAGGTTAGAAGTAGCAGAGACCAATCTTGCAGGGCCCAGTAAACTATTTTAAGGATTTTGGACCTGATTCTAAGAGCAAAGAGAAACAACTGAAGACTGTCAAAGAGGGAAGTGGCATGATCAGAAATGTGTACCTGGAAGTTCATTTGGGTTACAATCTAAAAACAAAGGCCTAAGGAGGACCAGGAATAAATGTGGGAAGACCATTAAGAACTTCTTTCAATAATCTGTGGATTACTGACATGATGAATGATAGCTTAGACTAGGATAGTGGTAGGAGAAATAGAGAAAAGTAGATGGATTAAAATTATGTTTAGGAGGTAGAGTAAATAACCCTTGGTATTAACTGAAAAAGGGGTAAAGGATGACTCACATCTCCAGCAACAGCACTGCTCACATTCTAGCCTCCAGCCACATTGAATGACTTGCAGCTCCCTAAGCCTTCATGCCTCAAGAGTAGAAATGCCCTGACATCATCCTTCAGCTGCAAACTGCCTCCTCAGTCTAGCCTTCCTTAACTGTGCCCCTTAGATGCCTTAATTCCTGTTCCCATAGAGTCTCATGCTTGCCTTTATCACAGCACACCGCATTATAATATAATCAAATATTTATGTTTCTATCTTCCCCACATGACAGAGTGCTCCTTAAGACTAGAAATCATCTTTGGTTATTTTAACCTCTGCATCTCCAAAGCCTAATTACTCAAATGTCTGTGAATAAACTCTCACTTCTCATCCAATGTACGTTCCTGTTACGGGGAACAGAGAGAGCGAACTGAGTTCTTGGGGCCCGCTGTAGGAAAGAAAAGGATATGGGAAGATGACCTGGGCCTGAGAAAACAGGCAAAAAAGGCAGCGTGGTTTCCTAGCTAGACAAACAGAGAGCTATGAAACTGCAGGCTTCTTTCCCCCGTGCTGGTAGTATAGAACTAAGAGCCCAAACCCAAAGAGGTAACTTTAAAACAAATTAAGGGAAATGATTACTCCAGGATAATGCAGAGGCTGAAAACATACAAAGAGCTTCACCAATGGTTCAGAAAACAAATTACCACATTTTACTCTGCATTATATGTAATTATTTGAAATTTTTACTAAAAATACATCAATACATTATTTGCATAATTTAAAATGTACTAATAAAATGTAATGGCTCCAATGTGTAGCTGAAAATGCCTTCTCTTAGATGCACGTAGAATAAAAACACATGCCATGTGATTCAGCAATCCCATTCTTGGGCACATATCCAGACAAACTCTAATTTGAAAAGACAGATGCAAAAAAAAAAAAAAGAAAAGACAGATGCACACGAACGTTCGCAGCAGCCCTGCTTACAACAGCCAGGACATGGAGACAACCTGAAAGTCTGCTGACAGATGAATGGATAAAGAAGATGTGACGGGGTGTGTGTGTGTGTGTGAGAATAGTACTCAGCCATAAAAAGGAATGAAATAATGCCACTGCAGCAACATGGATGGACCTAGAACTTATCATACTAAGTGAGGTGAGTCAGGAAGAGAAAGACAAGTAACACATGATATCACTCACATGTGGAATTTAAAATATGACACAAATGAACTTAACTATGAAATAGAAACAAACTCACAGACATAGAGAACAGAGCTGTGGTTGCCAAGGGAGGAAGGGGGTAAGGGAGGGATGGATGGAGAGTTTAGAAGTAGCAAATTCAAATGGTTATAGAATAGACAAGTAACAAGGTCCAACTGTATAACACAGGGAACTATATTCAATATCCTGTAAGAAACCATAATGGAAAAGAATATGAGAAAGCATATATATATAAAACGTATAACCGAATCACTCTGCTGTACACCAGAAACAAGTATGGCATTGTAAGTCAACTATGCTACAATTAAAAATAATAATTTAATTAAAAAAGAATAAAAATACGAATTTACAGACATATTACTTAAAAAAATATATAAAACACCTAATGGAAGACAGAGATCTACAAAACATTAATTATAACTTTAATGAGGGATACTTCCTAAAAAATGTCATAAAATACTTTCTCAAATTGTCATTGTTGCTTTCATTTTAAAGACACATATTGGAGCTAATCCCATAGAACAATTTGTCTCCTATTCAAGTAGACTTCCGGTCTGAGGTGGTAACATCCAAACTAGAAGAGGTAGTAGTGAGGGATTCTGCTACAGTAGCAACCCCTCTGAAGCACCCTGATGTCCTGGGGCCCCATGCGTACCACGGCACACAGGAAGTTGGTAGTTTCATTTATAAGCAATGACTCCTTCCCAAGTCATCCAGAAAAGAGCTGAAGACTAAAGACAGTGGAAGATAAATGGGAATTTTAAATTAAACCCTGAAGGATGAGTCCTCCTATCCTGCCACCTTTGACTCATCCTTTTTTTTTTTGACTCATTCTTAGCAGACAACCAAGCCTCCAACTTCAAAGACAAAATAGACAACATGAAAAGGCCATCCTTCACCTCCCTCCTACAATACTCACGATCTTACCTGCACCCCCAATTATCCATTCCTCTTTTCCCTCAAGCACAAGAAAGAGGGAATCTCTCATCTTTTTTTTCAGCTATCCCCCTCAACTGTGCTCTGGATCCTACTCCTTTCTCATCATTTGCAAGGACATTTCCCTGCCATCTATCTCCTTTCTTTCATAGGTCTTCAACCTATTTATCATAATGTCCCTTCCTCAAGTAGCTGAATCAACTCTCTCTCATGACTTCAGAGGAGTCATGAGAGGATGCCTCTATAAGAAGATGCCTTCAAGTATCTTCACCTCTGGCCTAGATCACTCTCGAGTTTCAGATATTTGCTAGTCTCTAAGTATCTGCACATCAATGTCCTACAGAAATTCCAACATGTCCAAAACTAAATCATATTTTTCCTAAAACCAATTCCACCTTTATTCTCTATCTCAGGGAACAGACCAGTTCACCCAGTTCTCAAGTCAGAAAACTTACTGCTACTTCCCTCAGCTCCCATGCCCAATCAAGTCCTTTGGATTCAACCTCATTAATATACTCTGTTCACCTTCCCCATCTCCAAAGCCATTTCCTGGTTCAGTTCCTTCTCGCATCTCACTTGGATTACTGTGGCACCCTGCTACTCTCCTTATTTCTAGTCTTACTCTTCTCCAAACTTTCCACACAACATCCAGAGTTCTAGTTCTGAAATGCACACCTGACATTTCCCTATTTAAAGCACTCAATGGCTCCGTATGACTTTCTGGGTGAAAGGTCAAACTACTTATTGTGTGACCTTTCAAGACCTGGTCTCAGCTCATCTCGCCATCCACTGTATAAATTTTGCTCTCAGGGCACAATAAACCTGCCATTCACAATTTTCCAACTACTGTGCCCTCTCCCTAGTTTCAAAAATCCCACCCAGAATCCTAAAGCATCATATTGATGTCTACGAACCCAGGGCAGCAAAAAACTTTTAATCCTAAATTCATCTTCATCTAGAAAAAGTTTTACTAAATTCTATAGTGCCACACAGTGGTGAGAGAGGGAAGCGCATAGTACAGATAAAGGAAATGTAGATGGAGGACGTGTAAGAGAACATCAGGGAGCCTGAAGTGGTCTAATTCCCTGAGATGAATGGGAAATGTCTGTGCAGTGCTCCATGGCGGCACATACCGGGTTCTCACGCCTACTCAGCTAGTCATGCTCATGACATCGCTCTCAGAAACTTACATCGCTGGGGCTCAGGCTGCCCAGCCCATTCTCCTGCTCAGAATCTTTCCCAGACTCGGTGCCCTGGGAGGACCGGGGATGGGATGGATGAATCCAGATCTCCAGGCGAGTGGTGTCATCTCCTACATGCCGGAAAGTGGATTTCTTCCCTTTCCGCCACTGGTCAGGGCTCAGCTCCAATTCTTCGTGTTGCTTCTTTTCCATCTGTTCCGCCTGTATGACATACAAACATGTAAGCTCAGACTCTCCTGGTATTCAGCCAATAAAGAGAAGTGCTCATCTCACCTGAGCTTGTTTGCTAAGAAGTGTAAAAAGTAAAGACTTAGCCATAGTTCCGAAGTACAGAGTATCATCTGTTCTGTCTCATAAAAGTTACTTATTCTGTAAACCAGATGCTGTGGAATACGTACACCCAAGGGCCCTGGAGTGCTCTCCTAAAGATGAGTTTGGTTCTTTACAGAGACTGACTCTAGAGCACAGACCAATGGCACCCCTTGAGGACACTATTAGTCATTTCCTAAAGGAAACAGAGACAGTAACAGAAATGCATTCTTCTAGGAAGAAATGATTTTGCCTGCATCCCTACTCACCTTCCGTTTGGTCTCTTCAAACAAGCTCATGAGACTCTCCTTGGCAGTCAGGATAGGGTTGCTGGCAGCTAAACTGCGCATATAATAATAGACAGCATCCAGTTTCCTCCTCTGCAGAAAGAGGTCAGAGACACTGAGTCAACCAGTTCTCTTCCAGACTCCAGCCTGAGTCAGCCGACCCAGGAAACCCTACCATCCCTCCCAAGCTGTGAGGAATTCCAACAAGAAAATGAGAAAGCTGCCCACAGGAGAAGCCATGGTGATGACAACAGAGCTCTCTTCTCATCCAGGACTATGTCTAACATGTAGACCTACTCTTAAAGACACACACTCAGCAGTGGGGAAAAAGAATAAAGAGCCTCACAAAATATGAAAGCAATTACATTTTCTCTTTAGAGAAAGAAAATTGTCAGCATGTACTAATTATTATTATATTTAAATTATAAACAATGGCAATATCACAGAATAAGCGTACCTACAAGGCAAATGATGAGCACTTCAGAAACAGTATTTCCAAACCCAAGGAAACTGCCCCGTAGACATTATTATTCCCATTTTTTTTTTTCATTTATTTTTATTAGTTGGATTATTCCCATTTTAACGATGAGGAGACAGGAGCTCAGGAAGATTATTACATAACTTGGCCAATAAAGTCTCAAAGCCAAATCTCTGATAAGCTAGTATTTGAACCAAGGCCTCCCTGGCTCCTAAGTTCATGTTTTCACTACAACGTACTGACTCTACTGAGAAAAGGAAACTATTACTCAATGTATTCAGCAAAAAAACACTTCAAGTCCAATTTTATAACCAATTAATAAGGAAATCAAAGGGAGAGAGTTAGAAGGAAAGAAAATCAAAAGCCTTTCTATCTTTCTATCATATACGTCTTTACCCTTTCCCTGCCTTGAAATGTACCTAGACTACTACTTCCTTCTCTCCCCAGCACCTACTTACTCTTTAAAAGTCCTTGCAACCATCTAACATGGTTAAAGATACACATTCTAAGCTCAACTGCATGAGTGTGAATTTGGCCCTGCCACCGATTAGGTATACGCCTAAGAAAGTCAACCTAGAACAATTTCCTTATCTGTAAAATGAAGATATTCACCAACATAAATGGCTCCTGAAAAGAATAAAATTCACATAATTATACATTTAATGGAATATCTGGTACATGATTTCAGTCAGTTAAATGGAAGCTATCTTTAATGTTATTCTAATTATGCCACTCCCTTGATTCTACAGTAATTGATCAGTCCCACAATGATTTTTTTCATATTTTAACATCTCTGAACTCAAGATACAACTCACAATCAATATCTATCATCATCTTATTTGAGCTCACATTTTTCTTTCTTAGTGCCATAGAAAATGATGTCTCCAACAATCAATTGCATCATATCCTATCAAGTACAATTTGTATCATTGTCTGTATACACTTGTCTTCTCAATTTTTTTTTTCAGGACAGAAACCATATCAAATTACCTAGCAAAACACTGCACAGCATATTCTCAGCAAATACTTGGGATCCACTGAAGGAAAAGCTATAGAAAAGTTGAGAAAGTGATGTTAAAAAGACAATTAATTGGGTTAAGACAGAGAAAGAAAAAGAGGGACAAAGGAAAAGAACTCACAAAGAGTACTAACTTAGGTCAGAGGTCCATGAAAAAAAAAGCACAGCAATTTAATTAGTGTGGCAACAAACCACTGAGGGAAGACACAAGATTAATACTCAAAAATTAGTTGTATTTATATATATTAGTAGTGAACAATCTGAAAAAGACATTAGGAAATAATTCATAATAGCATCAAAAATAACAACATACCTTATTTATACCTTAGGAATAAATTTAACCAAGGAAATGCAAAACTTTTAAACTGAAAATGACAAAACATTTCTGAAAGAAATAAAAAAAGACCTAAATAAATGGAAAACATCCTGTGTTTTTGCAACAAAATATTCAGTACGGTAAGGATGTAAACAGACCTCAAAGCACTCTAAAGATACAATGCAATCCTTATCAAAATTACAGTGACTCTTTTGGCAGAAAAGAAAAAGCTGATCCTAAAATCCAAACGGCATTCCAAAAAACCCCAGACAACCAAAACAATGTTGAAAAAGAACAAAGTTGGAAGACTCACATACCCCAATCTAAAAACTTACCACAAAACTACAGTAATTAAAACAACATAGTACTTGCACAAGAGAGAGAATTGAGAGTCCAGAAATCAATTTATCATACATCAACTGACTTTTAAGAGTACTAAGACTATTTAATGGGGAAAGAATAATCTCAACAAATGATGCTAGGGGCCACATGCAAAAGAATAAATTAGACCCTCACTTCACACCATATATTAACCAAAAATGGATCAATGACCTAAACAGAAGAATTAAAACTGTTAAAAAAAAAAAAAAGGATTTCTATATTTTCATCTAAATAAATAAATAAGAAACCTTAACTTTTATTTTTTTTTATTTTTTATTTTTGAAACCTTAACTTTTAATTTGGTTAAGAGTTTCTTAGCTATGACATCAAACCACAAGCAACAAAAGTAAAAATAAATAAACCACACTTTATCAAAATTAAAAACTCTTTAAAAGGGCATTATCAAGAGAGTGAGAAGACAACCCATAAAATGGGAGAAAATATTTATAAATTACATATTTGATTAAGGTCAGACTACATAAAGAACTGCTACATCTCAACAATAAAAGAGACAACTCAGTTTAAAAATATGCAAAGGATTTGAATAGACTTTTTTCCAAAGAAGATACACAGATGGTCAACAAGAACATAAAAAAACCAGTACTCATTAGGGAAATGCAAGTCAAAACCACAATGCCATACAGCTTTGAAAGCAATTAGGTTGGCTACTATTTAAAAACACACACACACAACAACAGAAAATAGTGTGCTTTAGCAAGGACGCAGATAAACTGGAATCCTTGTGGGACTGTAAAATGGTACAGCTGTCAGTGCAGTGATTCTTCAGAAAACTGAAAATGCTATTGTCAGATTACCCCATGATCCAACAACTCCACTTCTGAGTATATGCCCAAAAGAATCGAAAGCAGGGTCTTGAAGAGGTATTTGTACACTCATATTCACAGTGGTGTTATTCACAATGGTCAAAAGGTAAATATGTCCATTGAGAAATGAAATGAAAAACAAAATATGGTATATACACAATTGAATATTACTCAGGCTTAAGGAGAAAACTGACATAAGCTGTAACATGAATGAACCTTGAGGATTTAACACTAAGTGAAATAAGCCAGTCACAAAAAGACACAAACTTTTTTATTCCATTTATATTCAGTAACTAGAGTACACAAATTCACAGAGACAGAAAGAAGAAGGGTGGTCACCAAAGGCCAGAGGGAGGGGAGAACAGAGAGTTGCTATTTAATCGGTAGAGAGTTTCAGTTCTGTAAGATGAAAGAGTTCTGAAGATTAACTGCACAACAATGTGAATGTATTCAACACTACTGAAACATTACGCTTTTAAAGATGGCAAACTTTGCTTTATGTGTGATTACAGTTAAAAAAATTTTTGTTGAGGTTTGACAGTAAACAAAACTCTGTAAAGCAATTATCCTTCAATTAAAAAGTAAATAAGTTAAAAGAATTTTATTTTCTTGATTTAAAAAAAATGGGTAAAGGACTTGAACAGACTAATAAGCATATGAAAAGATGCTAAATATAATTAAACATTAGGGAAATGCAAATCAAAAGTGAGCTACCACTTCACACAAACTGATTCTAAAGTTTACATGAAAAGGCAAATAAAAAAACATCCAGGATAGCCTACACAATACTGACACTACCTGACTTCCAGATTTGCTATAAAGCTAGCTATAGTAATCAAGACAGTGTGGTACCAGCCAGAGAATAAACAAGTAGATCAATGAAACTGAATAGAGAACCCGGAAACACACCTTCACAAATACAGTCAGTTGATTTTTGACAAAGGAGCAAAGGCAGTTTAAAGGAGAAAGGATAGTCTTTTCAGCAAATGATGTTAAAAACCGGACACCCACATGCAAAACAATGAATCTATACACAGACATTACACCTTTCACAAAAATTAACCCAAAATGAACTACAGACTTTAATGTAAAATGTAAAACTCTACAACTCCTAGGAGATAACAGAGAAAATCTAGGTAACATGCGTTTAGCAATGCCTTCTCAGATACAACACTGAAAGCACAATCCATAAAAAAAAAAGTTGATAAAGTTCTTAGATTTCATTGATTTTAAAAACTTCTGTGAAAAACACTAAGAAAATAAAAACTACAGATTGAGAGAAAATATTTGTAAAACACATATCTAATAAAGGACTGGTATTCAAAATATAGGAGCTCTAAAAACTCAACAATAGAGACTTCCCTGGTGGTCCAGTGGCTAAGACGCCATGCCTCCAATGCAGGGGAGCTTAGGTTCGATTCCTGGCCAGGGAACTAGATCCCACAGGCCACAACTAAAATATCCCGAATGCCACAAGGAAGACTGAAGACTCTGCATGCCACAACTAAGACTCAGCACAGCAAAATATTTAAAAAACAACAACAACAAGAAAATAATACAATTTAAGAATGCGCAAAAGATCTAAACAGACATCTCACCAAAAATACACAGAAAGCAAATAAGTATATGAAAAGATGCTGTACATCATCTGTCATTAGGGAATTGCAAGTTAAAGTCTAACACAAATAGGATTCTGCAAACCTATCAGAGCAAAATCCAGAACACCGATAAGACCAAATGCTTAAAAGGATGCACAGCAACAGGCGGGAATGCCAAATGGTACAGCCACTTTGGAAGACAGTTTGACAGGTTCTTCCAAAACTATATATACCCTAACCACACAACCCAGCAATCACACTCCTAACTAGCTATCCAAATAATTTGAGAACTTATGTCCACAAGAAAATGTGCACAAAAATGTTTCTAGCATTTGATAGTCAAAACCTGGAAATAACCAAGATGTCCTTCAATAGGGGAATGGATAAACTATGGTACATCGATACACTGGAATACTACTCATCAATAAACAAAAAGAGCTATCAAGTCACAAAAATACCTCTAAGTGCTAAATGAAAGCAGAAAACATGAAAAGGCTACATACAGTATGGTTCCAAATATATGACATTCTGGAAAAGTCAAAACTAGAGAGACAGTAAAAAATATCAGTGACTGACAGAAGCTTAGGGGAGGGAAGAAGGATAAAGAGGTGAGTGGTGGAGCACAGAGTATTATTTTTAGGGCAGTGAAAACATTCTGTGATCCTCTAATGCTGGACACATGTCACTACATTTGTTCAAACTCATAGAGTGTACAATAATAAAAGTGAACCCAAGTGTAAGCTGCAGACTTTAGTATTAACAAATGTACCTGCACTGACTCATTAACTGTAACTAACATACTATACTAATGAAAGATGTTAATAATAGGGAAAACTGGGAGTTGAAGAAGTATACGGGAACTCTCTGTACTTTCTGTCCAATTTTTCTGTAAACCTAAAACTGACCAAAAAAATTTTTAAATATAGTAAAGAAGAAGAAAAAAAAGTCCCCAGGTAGGGAGGAGGGAACCACAATGAGATATCACTTCATACCCACTAGGTTGGGTCATATTCAAAGTAATGAAAAATAATGTCAGCAAGAACATGAAGAAACTGGAACTCTCCTACACTGCTGGTAGAAATGTAAAATGCTGCAATTACTATAAAAAACAGCTTGGCAGATCCTCAAAAAGTGAAACATAGAATTACCATTTGACCCAGCAGTCTCACCCCTAGGTACAGACCATAATTAATGGTTAATTTTCCTAGATGAATTTTCTCTGAATTTTTTTTAAAGCCATTGAGGAGAAAATTTTTTTACATTTTCTAGTTAACAAATAAGACTAAAGGGGAGAGAAAAAGCAACAAAGAGGGGCGATAAAAATCTCAACACATATCAAAAAGAGAATAGGACAGAGGTAGAAAGCAGAGAGAGAAATTCATAGATTCCACAAGAAGTGTATCCTTAAGCCACATTCCTTATTAACAATGTCAATCCATAATTAAAGTGTTAGGAATTTTTTTTTTTAATTTTTGTGGAATAAAGGATAAAAATATCAATTCAAACACTATTTATGTGGGCAATGAATTTTACAACATTAAGAAAACTCTTCCTGCCAATGAACACGTTAAGTGCTCCTTATATTTAAACCTTTGGTACCTACAATTGGCCCCTCCCCCTTAAAGTCAGTTTCCTTACTAGGGGCTCTGTCAGATTCCAAGGCTCATTGTGAGAGCAACATTTAGAGGAGTTCAGCAAAATCAGAGAGGTACGATTTGGCATTTACTGTGCATCTGCTAAAAAGACTCCTAAGGTAAAAAGCTCAGATGAATAAGGGGATGATCTGGGGAAAGGAAAGAAGGATGTACTTAGGGCTAGTTGAGGACTTTAAAGGGGAGACATACAGGGAGCCTTCCTTTCCTTCTAGAGATGAGTAACCTAGTTCAACCTAGGGAAGGGAAACAAGACAAGATTCAGAGCAGAAACCTTGGTCAAAAAGAGTAATGTTTGGCTGCAGCATAAGCATTCCCCTGGGAACTTAAGTATAGTGAAAGTGGATTCAACTGAAGTGAAAGATCCCTCACAACTTACCTCTGAAAGCAACAGTTACCAAAAGGAGTTTGAGGATGACAGACATAAGGGGGTATACTTTGGGTTGGGTGTTAAGATGAGTTCTAGTTCCAGGAGTTGATGCTATCAAAATCCATATATCTTACATATTGCCTGCAAAATACCTCCCCATCCAAAATTTCTTACCGTATACACAGCCAGCAGAGCCAACTGGTTATAAGGGCGCCCATTCTTCGGAGCAATATGCTGGGCCTTCAGGTACCAACTAGAAGAGAAAAACAATTTAAAAAAAGATGTTTCTGCATTAACACTTTCCCCATTTATCACCTGATGGCCCTTACTACTTAAACTGTAACCCTCGCGAGTGGTAAAGCAGGGAGCACCTGCAGGACGTATGTACAAGACACGGCTCAGGTGGCCCACTGCTCTGAACAGGGCCTAGGTTAAAGCCACACGGGGAAGAGGAGTAATGAACAAGAAGCAACAGTACCTGCGTGCCTTCCCATAATTTGCCGTGTCGTTGGCTTGCTCCCGATACCTGGCAATATCTCCTTGGCAAATCATACATCGCTGGGCACTGATCAAGGCATATTTTACCTTCAGGAGAAACGACCAGTTAGCAGTATCTACCCAAGAAACTCTAACTTCAGCCCCAAAGGGCAGGGTGAGGGTCAGAATCACAGAGCAGCATTAACAAGGGACCAGCAATCCTCAACAAAGTCCAGTCAAATGGAAAAAACATTCTGCCTGTCTTTGTAGTAGCTGGGGAACCTCAACCAAGTCTCTGGAACTCAACTTCTCCATCGGAATATAAAAATACCTATCTCACAGGGAAACTGGAGGGAAAATGTGTAAGAATACTTTATGAATTATAAAGCGATATACAGGGATTTCCCTGGCAGTCCAGTGATTAAGACTTGGCACGTTCACTGCTGTGGGCCTGGGTATGATCCCTGGTTGGGGAGCTATGACTGCACAAACTACACACAGTGATATACAAATAGAGTAATAAAACAGTTGTTTGTTCTTTCCTTTCCATCCTTCCATCATCTTTCTCTCCTCAAACTATTAAAACCACTGTACTGTGTTACTGCACTCCATCTCCTTTGCAGGACAATAGTAATTCCCTAAAACAGTAAGTTACCCTTTACCAAACACCCATAAAATCCAGGATTGGGTAATACTACATGTATGTTTTCTCACTGATGGGCTTGGCATCTGTCCCTCAATGAGAAGATGAGTAAAACTTTAACTACCCTAAGACATGCGCTCAACCAAAATATGTTAAGGAACATCACTTCATAACATGTACATGCTGTTACTACATATTGTTAGGAACTTCCCTGGTGGCTCAGCAGTAAAGAATCAGCTCACCAATGCAGGAGACATGGGGTTTGATCCCTGGGTTGGGAAGATTCCTTGGAGAAGGGAATGGCTACCCACTCGAGCATTCTTGCCTGGAGAATCCCATGGACAGAGGAGCCTGGTGGGCCGTACAGTCCATGGGGTCACAAAGAGCCAGACAAGGCTGAGCGACTAACACGTCACCTGGCTGACGTCTTGGGTCTTCAGCCTTAGCTCAGCCACGACTTCCGCAGGCCTCTGTGGTCCGCTAGGCCCCGTTACACCTACACCATAGCCCACAACACCCTCTGCAGCAGCCACCACGCCTGCAGTTACTAATCCAACGCCTGGACTCACCCCTAATGAAACTAAACTCTGAAAGTTGGGACCACAGCGTTCTTCTTCCAGGCTGAATTACGTGTGCCTGGAATGGCACCTGGTGCGTAGGAGGGACTCAACAAGTACTTGTTGATTAGTAACAGAGCTTTTGCATGGCAACTGATCAAAAGAAGCAGGAAGGCAAGAGGAAGCCTCTGTTCCATAAATCACACTCGTTTCTCTAATGAATTGACCTCTTATTCTCCCTTGGCCCTTTCCTCTCAACATATAATTACGCTAAAGTCTCTCCAAGGTTAAAAACAAACTTCTCTTGGCACTGTCTTTTAACTACTAACTTCCTTTCCCTCCTTGCCTTCACAGCCTTCTTACAAGAACAGCCTGGGTTACCCTCTCATTATATCTGCTACCCTACTTCTCATGCACTACAATCTGGTTTCCATCCTCTCCAAGTAATATAACTCGTGGTAAGGCCATCCAACCCAACCAACACTTTTCAGCAATCATAACATGTGAGGGTTTTTATAGCACTTGTCCATTTTACCCACCACCACCCTAAAATCCGGCTCCCTGCCCCTGGGCTGGCTCTCCCAGTTTCCCAACTTCTGCTTCAACTATCATCTACATATTGACGACTTCTGAATTTCTAGCACCACTCCAGCTCTTTCTCCTGAGCTCCAGACAGACCAGAACATTCATTTGTTCATTTTCAGGTCCTCTACTCAAGCTGATTAAAACAGAACTAACCTCTTCCTTCCCAGCTTCTCTTCTAGGGCACAAAATTCGGGGAGGATCTGGACTCCTCCTCACGCCTCCAATCTCGACATTCACACTGAACCAGCCAGCAATTCGACACTGCTCCCTACAGTTTTCCAATCTGTCTCCTCTTCACCTCCACTTCCTCTACCTCATTCACGCCCACACCCAGCTCTCCTACCTCCAGTCTTGCCCAAACTCATCTAATTGCTGAGTCTCAAGAACATATCTATGCCATCCATTTGCTGAAAATCAATCTATAGCTCCTCACTTCTTTCAGGAAGAAAATCCAAACTCTTCAGCATGACACATAAGAGTTTATGATCCATCCCTTCCTACTTCGTTAACTTTACCTCCTCCAACAGCCCAATGCACATTACGGACATCAGCATGCTGATTTCTTCTACTTTCCCAACAAGGTGTGGTCCTCTCACTGTGCCCTGTATCTAAACTGCCCCTTCCACTCCTAGCCATGTTTCAAAAATCAACCTGACAGTAGCTAAGAAACCTTCTTTGACCCCATCAGTCCACAGCAGACCCAATGCCCTCTACACTCTATACATACCATTACTACAGTATTTATGACATTACATTATAACTGTTGCTTTAACTCGTCTGTTCCCCCACAGGACTATATCTTTCATTCTTGCATCCTCAACACCCAGCACAGTGCCCAGCACATAACTAACACTAAATAAATGCTTACTAAGTGAATGAATAAATTTAACATAAAGAAGCTGGCTTACTGTCTTTCGTAATGGCTTGCTGCGAATGGCAAGACCGTCCATGTAGTCCTCCAATTTGAACTTGTAAGTGACCTGCAGCTTCTGAAGCAAGCTATCAAAGAAGTCACTGCCCTATAAAGAGAAAAAATAAGAATCAGCCAAATCAGCCTGTACTGATTCATTCTACCCAGAAACTGTGGCAAGAAACCCTTTCACAGTTCTGTTATTGTTCAGCCAGCAGATGTTAAGGGAGGTATGTGCAGTACTTGGTGGCCACCAACTAAACCCAAGACAAGTTTGATAGCATAAGCCTTTCCGAGGTTTTAAAGATATGAAAACATACACAGGGACTCGCCTGATAGTCCAGTGGTTAAGGCTGAGCTTCCACTGCAGGGGGCATGGGTTTGATCCCTGGTCAGGGAACTAAGATCCCACATGCTGAAAGTTACAGTCACACACACACACACACACACACACACACACACACACACGAACACACACTCCAGGTAAGACATTCAGAAAGCTTCCAAGCTCAAAACAAACTCCACCTGTCAGTTAAGCTGTAGTGTCAAGGAAGCAACAGAAGCAGGGTAGGCCTAAACTCAAGAAAAGAGCATATAAAGTTTGTTGTCAATGTTATATTATAAAACACAGTATTGTGGGTGGTAAAAACTCATCCCAACTAAAGGATGCTGAAGCCTTTATCCTGAGGACATAAAGATGATGGTTTACCTCATCCAAGAGCTCCAAAAGTCTGTTCCGAATCTGTTCTGGGTTCTCAACATTCGGATCCTTGAGAAGCTGCCTGAACTTCTCAATCACCTGATAGAAAGCATTCTTCCACAGGATCTGATCCACATTCTGATTATCAGAGAACTCAATATCTAACAGAATACAGCGCTCATATAGCTGCAGCAGTTCAGCTCTGGAATAAAATACATGCAACTTCTAGCTCCAAATACACCACAGGAAAGGCTAGACCCAAGACCTGAGGTTCCTGCAAATCACACACTTTCCTTGGCAGGAAATCCAAAATGCCACCAGGTATAGCTCTCACTCTAGCTTCCATTCTGCATAGCAGAATGTCATTCTAAAGACAAGTTAGGTCTAGGAAAGTAGGTCTTCCCCATATACCTCTACCTGAATTTAATAGCCAAAGTAACAGGGTACATGCTGTTTATTTCTTGGCACTTTAGAAAGTCTTTCCTTTTTCATATCCAGAGTCCATGCTCTCTTAAAAGACTTTTTTCTTCTTAAAAAGTGGGAAGCACAATCATTTCTAGGACTAGAAACAACTTTTTTCTGCTCCGCTCTTTTTCTAACTTCCCTTCCCTTACAAAAATTAATGTGAAAGGGAGGTAACACCCGGGAGTTTACCTGAAACGCTTCTACCTTCCTCAGCCTTAGGGCCCTGTACACCTCCAGCTTATTCCTACTCCCCTTTAGCCAGGATGGGACCCCCCCCCCCCCCGCCACTCCATACCTGAGCTGAGCCATCTTCTCCAGGCCCTCAGGACTGATGCGGTCCCTGGAGAGCAGGTTGCTGAGTTGTAGTTCTTGGTTGTCAGCCACCCGGAGGAGCCGGTGCAGTTCCTGCTGCTGCATGTTCCTCATGTGCTGTTCCACCTCCTCAGGACTCATGGTGCTGGCAGGCAGAGGGCTACACACATACTGCCCTGATGGAGCTGGGTAGCCCGGGTAGTAAGGCGCTGGGTACACACCGTTTGTAGGGCCCACCGGGTACTGCAGAGGGCTATAGCCTGTGTAAGGATACTGGGAGGCGGGGCCTGGTGCCCGGGGGTAATAATAGGGGTTGTCGGAGTTCTGAAACTTGTAGTAAGAGGCTTGGGCCTGGCGTGAGTCACCCCAGGAGGTAGGGCTGACTTCATCATCAGTGTCCAAGAAATGCAGCTGCGGCGTCTGGCTCTTTAGAGCGGGTTTCTGTTCAGGATTGTTTGGGTCCCACAATCGTCGAGTGGTGCCTCCCCGGCCCCAACTCCGAGATCCCTTGCTACCAGTTCCAAATAAAAGCCGAGGTCCCAAAGGTGCCGACTCTGGAGAGCCAGCTGAACTGACTGACAAGGTGGTGTGGGCAGGGAGAATGAGAATGCCCCGGCCACGACCCCGAAGTTCCTGTCTCAGGTTTTTGGACTCCGGCTTCTCAGAGCCTTTGCCCCCACCGCTCGAGCCTTTGTCTGGCTTTAACCTATCCACCTCTTCCCTGGCCGACCTCACCACTGGGGAATCTTTGTTCATGGTTTCTGCATCAAAAGTGACTCGAAGAGTGCCTCGATTTTCTTTACCATTGCTTTTCTGCTCTCCCTCCCCTCGGACAGACCAGCTTCTTTCTGAATGCTTCTTCCTCTCTGAGCTCCTCCGTGGTCCATCAGGCTCATCAACTCTATCCTCATCCAAGGAGTCGGTTGAGGACATAGACACCTGCTTCTTCAGTCGGGGCCTCTCCTTGGTCCGATCCTGGCGGCGGCGGCGACTTCCACTGTCAGTCAGGCCAGCCCCCTCGGCACTGTTGTTGCTACCAGCCGAGCTGGTGCTGCAAGTGCGATAGCGGTTCCTGCGTTTGTCTGAGCGGGAGTAGCGCTTGGCAGAACCTGGCTTCCCCTGCGCCAAGTCTTCGTTCACCTTCTTCACCCCCTCCCCCTTTTCTACCCTCTTTCCTTTTTCTCCCTTTGCAGCCCTTATTCTGTCACCACTTGGGCTCTTTTCAGCCTCCTCTCTGTCCGGCTTGTTCACCACCTCCTCTTTCACATTTCCCCTACACTCATCTTCCTCTACCCTCAGTTGCTCTACCTGGTTGAGGATTTCTTCCTCTTCCACCCGGCTGGTGGCTTCTTTGGTAACAGTCTGCAAACGCCTTCCAGGTTGATAGATCTGCATGTCCGGTTTCTTTGTCCTCTTAATAATTCTTAGGCTTCGATCCTCTTGTCCAACAGTCCGAGGAAAGGACTCCTGTGCCCGAATATTTTCTGAGTCTACAGGACCATTTTGCTGTGGGTTGTCTTTGCAGACATCTTTAATGAGCTGGGTACAATTTCCAACAGCAGAAGAATCTCTGTCATTAACAACTTCATTCTTCAACTCGTCACTCCCAGAGGGTTCCTTGATTTTAGGTCTGTTTCTTAGTCGGGAAAGACCAGGCTTATAGATTTCCAGATCTGGGCGCCTGTTATCTTTTCGCTGCCTGGGCTCCTTCATATTTTCTGCCATGTTGGAGAGAGTGTTGGGGAGGAAAAGGTCGAAGAATAAAGGGGAAGGAGAGAAAAAAACTGTCATTAAAAGTAAAGCAAGAATTACACATCCAAGTGTTCATATCGATGGACAAGGAAGCAACTTTCTGCAGAAACGGAAATTCTACTAGGTTTAAGATATTTGTTCAGCAACTGACAAAACTAAAAACTTAACTATATTGGAGCTACCTACACTTGAGTTAGGGAAACAAGGGGGGAAAAAATCATATTGTCTTGATTTTTACCCAAATCATACTCAGATCCACAAGACCGTAAACTACCTCATCACTGTCAATAATAAAAGATCTCTGACCAGTTCTGCATTGGACTTTTTTTCTGCTATAGAGCTCTCAGCTCCACTGTGGTCTCTTCTGCCTCTAACATTTTTTATGGGGTGGTTGAGTCCTTTTAACATACTAATGGAGGAAGAGGGAGAAAATGAGGGGTATGCATATAACAATCCACAGTTCTAGACATCTCTGGAGAAAAAGTTTGCAACTCCAGTCACTGAACTTGGCCAAGACAATCCTCTACTTAAGGCTTTCAACTACCCAATCGCATACCTCCGGTTGAAGCAAACAGGAAGCAGTTCCTTTCACATTCTTCATCTCCACTCATGCTCACTAACTCTCTAACAGCAGCCAGTAGAGTCATTTCAAGGAAACACTACTCAGACTATCATCATTAGAATACTGAGACTAACTGCTACTATGATGATGGAATATGAGAAGGAAAAAGTTCCATAAAGGAGCTTTCCCTGGAGGATGATGGAAGTATTGTGACATGCTCTCCAAACACCAAGGACTGGGGCACTGAAGAAGAAGAAAACTGGACTTAAGAAACCACTCTCCAGGCTCCAGGAACTTGCAGAATGACAGATAAGCAAGTATCAATTTTCTGATCGGTTACCTTTAGTTGTTAAGGGGAGAGTCAACTGTAAATAGCCACTAAACTGTCCAGCGGGGGAAGAACCAGGACTTAGTGAGATTATAGAGTACTCAAAATGGAATGCTATAGAAAATTCTAGTATTGTTCTGTTAACACCAGTGCAAACAAGCTCCTAACAGGGGTCACATGCTCCAGTATTTACACCCATGGGTGTAACAAACTTGAAAAAAAATAACCCCAAACCCTTAAGTTTAAGATACCGCTTCAGTATTTTCCAAACGTTAAAAGACTGTTTCATTCACTTTGAATAAAGGTAAAGCAGTTTAACTCCAGAATAACTGACCCTCAGTAGCCTTTCTAAGTTGTGGGGAGGGGGTGGGGGGTGGAGAAGAACCACTACCACTTCCCAACGAGGAAAGAGAAAACAACCCGAATAATCCAATTCAGACAGCCAAAGAAAACCAATTTCACAAACTTCGGCCATAAGCCTGCAGAAACAGAACTACCATTCCCAAACGAACTCCCCTGACTAACCAAGAAGAGGTGAGACACTAGAATCTTCCCCGGTGTTTTCCCGGTGTGGCTTGAGACTTTAATTTGCAAGTTGGACATTCTCTCAGATTTAAAAAAAAAAACAAAAAACTGCTCCCACACGTGCCAAGGCCACACCAGAGTGCAGCTTTCTGAGATCCTGGATCCCCCCGGTGGCGCAGCCTTCAGAAGCCTGTCTTGCGGGAAAAAGTTCAGCAAGGAAATACCAAGCTGTTGAGCCTTTTCTTCTCCAGGTCTCCAGTCCCTACTCTCCCAGGGGGAATAAGACGGGGCAGGCCTGCGGCTGACTCCTCGGGGAACCATACACTCCGGGGGCCTCCTCCGCCAGGCCCCGGCGCCCAACTACTTGTCGCTTCCCCCGATAGCTGGGAACCCACGGGCTGGTGTGAGAGGGCCGGGGCAATGGGGAACAGTCACCTTCGCCGTGAGAAAGGGGGCGGAGACAGGAACCCGGGCTGGGCTCTCCCGGAGGGGCCTGAGCCGGCGGAGCCCGACCCCGCACCGGCTCTCGGACTGGTAGACACGGGAGGGCCCGCCCCGCCCTCGGCCCCCGCCCCCACTATTGGGGGAAGGGGCGGGGGCTCCGGAGCGCCGCGGACCAAGCGGGGAGGAGGCAAAGGAGGGGAGGGAGGCGGGGCGGGCAAGCCCGGCCCAGCAGCTGGGCGGCGCGACTCACCTCTGCTCCCGGCCTGTGGAGCCAGAGTGGCCAGGATCCCTCGCAGCTCCGACGCGGAGATCCGGACACGCTCCAACCCCTCCGCCATCTTCGCGGCTGCTGCTACAGCTGCAGCTACTCCGCCAGCGCCGCGCGCGCAGCCAGGAAACCACGACGGCCGGGCGGCGCGCGCGCGCTCTCACCCTCCTCCCACCCTTTTCCCCGCCCCCTCCCGCTCTCCTCCCGCTCTCCTCCCGCTCTCCTCCCGCTCTCCTCCCGCTCTCCTCCCCAAACGACGGTGGCCGCACAGGGAGGAAAAGCGCCGAACGCACGCTCGGCCGCTCCAGAGGGAACAGCCGGGCCGCCAACCTGGGCGGGGCCGGCGGTCGCCGCGCGTGCGCAGAGGTGTGGTCGGGAAGGTGCGCTGAGGCTGGAGTTGGAGGCGCGGCCCCCGGGAGGTGAGGTGAGGTCAGGCCCGGCCGAGGCAGGCCGAGCGAGGCGAGCGTTTGCGGCGGTGGCTCCTTTTGCTGTCGCGGTGGCCGTCGAGGACACCGGTGCCGGCATGGGGCTCGGAGTCTGTCCGGGCCTTCTCCATTCGTCTTAGGCCAGGGTCTCTTCGCCACAGGCCCGGACTGGTGCATCGGGCTTTTACTTTGGGACCTTCAAGATCTTGGAGGGTAGTTACTGTTGTGTCCCTTTCTTTTTTTTTTTTTAAAGGTGATGGAACTGAATGTCACGACCATAGCAAATTGCCCAGGATGACACAATGGATAATGACCAGAGACTCAAAAGTTTTTTCCTTTTTGGCAATTTATATCCCAAACTTCCGGTTTAAAAAAAAAATACGGTATAGATGGCTCTTGCTGAGGGAAGGGTTGTGTGGAAATAAGTCAGGAGGTGTAGTGAAGCGATTTGGGAATTTGCTGTATATCACTGTGAAGTTTTGGAAAAATCACTTGACTTTCCTGGATCTCAGGTTGATTTCTTTTTGTTTTTGTTTTCATCTTTAAAATGTAACTGGTACTTTACTGTTTGTTCCTGAGCCTGTGTTCAGAGCTGGTGAAACTCCCTCTTGCAAGACTGCTTTCCTCCACCTTTTGCTCCTTCACAGTGGAACACAGCCTATCGGACCTCTTCACCATCAAAGAATAGTTACTAATTACTCCTTAGACTGAATGGGCATAAAAGATGCAAACAATCTGACAACTTATTCAGTTACTATTAGGTGGCAGACCCTTCTCCTCCAGAAGGCTAAACAGATGGAAGAAGTCAGTAGACAGCAAAAGAAGGGGAATGATTGGAGTGGACAGAGCAAATGGCATGGCAGTCTTTAAAAACATGAAAGGAATAGGAAAAAATGTTTAAAACTAATTTGATATCACAGTGAAATTGGACAGGATGTTGGAACAGTGTTTTTTTTTAGAGATGAAAAGTGTGAACAAAGCTTCCCTAGGAAAAACATGATCGCCAAATTAATGTAGCCGTTTCAGTGAACTGCAGATGAGATATGACAAAAGTTAAAACCAGCTCAAAAAAATTTACCAGAATTCAGAGGGGAAATGTAATAGAAACGTGGCTCAGTGGTAAAGAATCTGCCTGCCAAAAAAAAAAAAAAGAATCTGCCTGCCGATGCAGGAGACGCAGGAGATTCGGGTTCAATCCCTGGTCGGAAAGATCCCCTGGAGTAGAAAATGGAAACCCACTCCAGTATTCTTGCCTGGGAAATTCCAATGGACAGGGAGCCTGGTGAGTTACACCCCATGGGGTCACAAAGAGTCAGACACGACCGAACACACACACATTTAGAGATGAAGGAGACATGGAGAATGGATCCAGAAAACTGGGAATCAAATATGAGTTCAGAAGGTAGTAACAGAACTGACTGAGGAGTAGCAATAATCAAAGATATAATAGAAGAAAATTTACTAATTTGATGGAAATTTTGAATTTAAAAGTTAATTTCAACTCTCAGATTTAAAGGGTTAATGAAATACCAGGTAAAAATAAATGAAAAGACAACCATATTTAGACCTGTATCACAATGAAAGCTGAGTTTAAACAACTAAAATATATGCTAATATATTTAAGATGTATTTTTTTAAACCAATTGCAGAGCAAGATACAGAGTATGGTTCTGAGAGCAGCAAAACCATTTATTGCAAATATAAGTTCCTATATATCAAAAAGGATGTGGAAGGATACATACCAGACTTTTTAAAATGGTTATCTTGGGAATTCACTGGCAGTCCAGTGGTTAGGATTCCTCTCTCTCACTGCCGAGAGCCCATGTTCAATCCCTTGTCAGGGAACTAAGATCTCACAAGCCGTGTGGTGTGGCCAAATAAATTAATAAATTTAAAAATAAGTAATAAGCTACATATTCAATAAAGTTAGAAAATAAAAATAGAAGAAATAAAGATAAAATCATAAATTAAGGAAAAAGAATAACACTTGGTAAATCAAAGCACTCATTCTTCAGAAATAAAGTAGACATTATGTAATAGACACATTTCTGGCAAAAATTTTTAAAAATCCAAAAGACATCCTGTCAGATGCTTCATAGGAAGAGCAAACTTAGCTTATCAGATTTCTGATTTTTGTCCTAAAATGTTCCTTTACCAGCCTTATATCTCAGTAAATTATACCACCATCTAAGTCGAAACCCAGGAGTTATCCTTGATACCTCCCTCTCCCTCAGTAACCCCATTCAATCCAATATTGAGATACATCTAATCTATCTCTGTAGTGGACATGTATGGAGTTTATAACTTCAGTCTTTTCCCCTTTTTTCTCTTAAAAACTGCCCCTTACTCACTGATAGTACTTTCTCTTTTCCTTTTTCTATTTTGTTTTTTCCTTTCTTTTCTCTTTTACTCCTTCCCTTTGCTCCTATCTTTCCCTCCGGTGTAGAGATTTCAGGCAGTCATACTGTTTGGTTCACATTGTCAGCAACGCCTTTCTCTTTTTTCCTACATTCCAATTCCCACTCATGTTCCTTCCCTCTTCAGAAGCCACTCTAATGTGTTTGATATATGTCCTTTGAAAATACATGTATCTTTGAATAATATATAATATTGTTTTGTGTATCTATGTATTTTAAACATACATATTTGATATTGTGTTCTAGAAATCATTGTTTCTTTTTCATGTTTCTGTATATACTTCTAACTATTGCATGGTATTGTCTTAAATGACCTCATACTCTTGGCCACTGGTCCTGGGCCAAGATGGGCCAACCAGAGTCCCTACCCAGAACTTTTTTAACTGAAACTAAGAAAAAAAGAAAACCCCCTCCAGTGTGGAAGCCATAAAATGCAAAACACAGGAGCTGTCAGCAGCCATGTGTCCTGCCATGTGGAACCAGCTGGTCTGCAGTGAAAAGAATGAAGCCGACATGCAGAAAGCAGCAGAGGTGAGAAACAGAAAGTCTTGGAAAACCTCCAAGTCCCTGGTTCCACTTGTTCCTAATGCTCCATATTCCTGGAAAACCTCCAAGTCCCTGGTTCCACTTGTTCCTAATGCTCCATATTCCTGCCCTTTCCATGGTTCAACTTCTCTGGATTCCATGAGCCAATAAATTCTCATCGCCTCCATCTTGTGCCTACGCCAGATTCAGATTGGGGTTCTATCACTTGTAACCAAGAAGTCTAACTAATTATAATCTCCAAAATGTATGTGTGTGTGTGTGTTTTTAATTGTGAAATACATGTAACATGAAATATGCCATCATGACCATTTTTAAGTGTACAGTTCACTAGTGTTAAGTACATTCACATTGTTGTACAACCAATCTCCAGAACTCTTTTCATCTTGCAAAACTGAAACTATACCCATTGAACAGTTTCCCATCCCCCTGTCCGCCCCACAGCCTCTTACAACCACCATTCTCTTTTCTGTCTATGAATCTGACTACTGTAGGTACCTCACATACATGTAACCATATAGTATTTGTCTTTTTCTGATTGACATTTCAATTAGCATATATCCCCAAGATCCATCCATATTCTAGCACAAGTCAGAATCTCCTTTTTTAATGCTGAATAACATTTCACTGTGTGTTTATACCACATTTTGTTTATCCATTCATCTGTTGATGAATACTGAGATGCTTCCACCTTTTGGCCATTGCAAATATACTGTGAACACAGGTGTACAGATATGTCTTTGAGACCCTCATTGAATTCTTTTGGGTATATACCCAGAAGTAGAATTGCTGAGTCATATGGTAATTCTTTTAATTTTGGGGGGAACTACCATAATGTTTTCCATAGCTGCTGCACCATTTTACATTTCTACCAACAAGTGCACAAGGACTCCAGTTTTTCTAGATCCTGCCAACACCTGTTATTTTCCCATTTGGTTTTTTTTTTTTTTTAATAGTAGCTACCCTGGCAGGCATAAGGTAGTATCTCATTGTGGTTTTGGTTTGCATTTCTCGAATGATTAATGATGTTGAGCATCTTTTCATGTGTTTGTTGGCCATTTGTATATCTTTTTTGGAGAAATGTCTATTCAAGTCCTTCGCCCATTTTTCAGTTGTTTTTTCCAAAATGTATCATGAATGATTATTTTTCTCTGCCTCCACTTTCACCATCAAAGTCCCTGTTGTCTTTCATGTGGACAACTGTAATATTTCATAACTGGATTCCCTGATTCCAACTCTTACCTCTTTCCTTTTCATTCATCACAGTGTACCAAGTGATTTTTTGTAAATATGAATTCTTACATGTCACCTGCTCAAAAGTCTTCAATGACATTTTTTTCAGAGAATAGTGGATTTACAATGTTGTGTTTCTGTTGTACAGCAAAGTGAATCTGTTATACATAAAGTATATCCACTCTTACATTCTTTTCCCATATAGGTCATTATAGAGTATTGAATAGAGTTCTCTGTGCTATATAGTAGAGGTCCTTATTAGTTACCTAGTTTATATATAGTAGTGTGTATATGTCCATCCCAACCTCCCAATTTATCCCTCCTCCTTTTCCTCCCTGGTAATCGTAAGTCCAATGGCATTTTATTACCCTTAAAAAAAATTCCATGAGTCCTGGTCCCTTATGATCTAGACTCTGCCAACTTCACTTTCCTTATCTCTTACATTTCCCATTGATCACATTTTCAGATACATTGATCCTTTAGTTCCTGTAAAATGCCAAGCTCTTTCCCTTCTTAAAGCCTTCACACATTATTATTATTCCCTCTACCTGAAACACTTTCCCCACTACTCTGCCCATTCATCTTATAGGTCATAATTTAATTTTACTTCTCAAAAAAAAAAAAAAGCTAATTATGCACAGAAAAATAAAAATTCACTTCTACTTAGATGGTCTTCATTGACCTCCTTCACGTATCTAAAATAAAGCCTTTCTATATACTATCCTAATACACCTCCCTAAGTTAACACATCAGTGTTGGCAAATATATTTTAATTGGATTATTAGGACACCTGACCAATACATTGTAATCTTTATGGGAAGAGGAACAAGTCTACTTTTCTAATACTGTATCCCCAGTCAAACACATAGAAGGTGTTCAATATTTGTTGAAGGAATATAACAGATAACAAAAAACTTAGAAATATTAATATGTACAACTTTATACTAATAAATTTTAAGTTGTGATTTTACCAAAAAAATTACTGAAATTAATTCAAGAGGCAATGGCAAATCCATATAAACCAGTAACTATGAAGTCACTGAAAGGTTACCAGAGCTATGTTTATAAGGTAAAGGCAAATTATTTGCAGATGGCATGATTGTTTAAAGAATAAACTGTAAAACTATTTAACAAGATAATCTGATAAAGTATTGAATTACATGATAAAAATTGTTTTCATATACATCATCAGTAAGCAGTTTAAAAATTAAAAAATGCCTTCTCTCAAAAGCAACAGAAGTCTGTTGCACTTAGACATAAATTTAATCAGGTCTATACAAGGAGTGAATTATGACAACTTTACTAAGAAACCTAAAACAAAAGGACTTTACTAAATTAAAAGACATCCATTGTTAATGGATGAGGAGGTTCAACATTTTCAAATATTAGTTATGCCTCCAATTCATTTGTACATTGTACAATGGAATTTCTGGCAACCTTGGTAAAGGATTTCTAAAGTTCTTTTGGAAGAACTGATATATGAGAAAAGCCAATAAATTTTAGAAATTTTAGAAAGGGAAGAATATATTAATACTATTAAAGGAATTGGCAGTCTAATCAATGGAACAAAATCCAGAAAAGCCCCAAGCATTAATAGAAATTTAATTTTTTATAAATGTATATTTCATAGGAAAATGATGATTCAGTATAGTGTTAAAGATTCACAAAAGAATTAAGTGGCCAATATACAGAAAAAAATGTTCAGTCACTAGTAATTAAATCTAAACTACTAGACATATTTCAGTAAATTGACAGATAAAAATAATAAGCGTAAAGGAAAATAGTCATTCCTCAGAAAGTGATGATGGGATATAAATTGACATAATCTACAACTCTTCTGATCAGTTTGGCAGTGGGTGTCAAGTGCCTTAGGAGTATGTATGCATTAAAAAATGCTAAATGCCACTGGTGGAATCTACTGAAACCATGTATAAAGATCTTGCAACAAGTCTGTTCATTACATCATCATTATAGCAAAAAAAGAGGAAAACTTAAATGTTCAACAGTTATGTAAAACCGATGGTATTTTTGTAAAAAGGACTAGGGATTTAAAAAGTCATAAAAGGGCTGGTGTCTCAGTGGTAAAGAAACCACCTGCCAATGCAGGAGACATGAGTTTGATCCCCGGTGAGGGAAGATCCCACATGCCATGGAACAACTAAGCCCATGTGCCACAGCTACTGAAACCTGTGTGCCCTAGAGCCTGTGCTCCAAAACAAGAGAAGCCACGGCAATGAGAAGCCCATATACCTCAACTAGAGAGTAGCCTCCACTCCCTGAAATTAGAGAAGTCTGTGCAGCAACAAAGACCTAGCACAGCCAAAAAATAAAAATTTTTTAAACTTTTTTAAAAAGCCATATAAAATATCGATTGATAAGCTAAGGTTCATATTCATAATACTGTCTGAAAAAAGCAAGTTACCAAACCTGTCAAAAAAGTTTTGTCTGCATATATATATATGGGCCTGGACAGAGAGACACCAGAACTTCAGTAGCAATTGTCTTTGGAGAGGAAGCAAATTAAATTCTTTCCATTGAGTATGCATTACCTGTTAATATGGAAAAATAAAGAGAATCACAATAAAAATAGTGAAAAGTGGAATTAATGCAGTTACTGGAAATTATAATTAGGAAAACTTTGAAGAAACTGAGCCAAATGGAAAAAGAGTAGATGAAATACTATCTTTGGTTTGATTTTAACTGTTACATGCATATTGAAAAAAAAAAAGGAAACATAGAAGGTGAATTTATTAAGATGGTAGGATTGTAGGTGATTTTTCCCCTTGGTAAATTGTGAAATATTTTTAAAAATAAAAATTGTAGCAGATTTTGAAACCAGTTTACGCTTCACAACAATGATGAAAAAGTAGAGACCAGTGGCAGTAGCAACAGATGGATGGTATAGGTGAGGGCTGAGCTTTAAGCCTTCCAGAATCACCAGGAATCAACTTTATTTCCTATAAAGCTTCAACTGAAGAAACTTATACACCAAAAAACTCAGCTTCAAGAGATGGTCCCTTATGCAGAAATTCTGGAACCCCAGTAATGAAGATGGTTCCCACATTAATACCACAGGCTGAATCTATTTTCCAATGTTATGCATTTTGTTTGTTGTTTTGAGTGTTAGTTTTTTGAACTTAAGATTCACAGCAAAACTGCTAAGAAGGTACAGAAATTTGCCATATGCCCCTTGCCCACACACATGTATAGCCTCCCTCATTATTGACATCGCCCACCAGAGTGATGTATTTGTTACAGTTGAACCTGCATTGATATACCATTACCACTAAAGTCCATAGTTTACATTATGGTTCACTCTTGGGGATGTACATTCCACGGGTCTGTTGTGTGTTTTCAAAATCTTTTCATTAAACATATTGTCTAGGCTTGCTTTGACCCCCTTCTTATTTTTGGCTTACAGAACCATGTGTGATCCGTACTGCATCTCCTTTGCTGATGTTGAAAAAGCTCATATCAACATTCGCGATTTTATCCACCTCACACCAGTACTAACAAGTTCCCTTTTGAATCAAATAACAGGACGCAATCTTTTCTTCAAATGTGAACTCTTCCAGAAAACTGGATCTTTTAAGGTAATAATCCTTTTTGATAGTACACCATTTTCAAACCACTTTCACGTAAATGTGTATGATCCTCCTGACCACCCAGTGAGGTAGGTAGAGTTAATGTCTTTTTTTTTTTTAATAGCTAAAGAAAGGGTTGTCAAAATTTTCCTTTGCTTAAGTCCTGGTTACTTAGCATCATGGTGTTCCGGAGAGCCACTTTTACACTATCTCAAAATTCCTTATAATTAAGGTGATCACATACAGCTTACTGTCCAAATTAGGACATGTTTGGGGATGAAAAGGGGAACTTCTAATGATAGGACAGCAGTTGTCAACTTGGACACCTATGGTGTTGAGTCGTGTCCAACGCCTTGCAACATGACTTTGCAACACGACATATGTGATCACACTGTATATAGCCAAGTTTAAGCATTCACTTGCTATGTGTTTATACATTATGAATAAAAAAGGTCTAAACCTAGCTCAGCCCTAATATAATAAAACCTTTTTCTTTTTCTGTGATATATGTTAGGGTCTCTCCTTTGCATAAAAATAGGTTTTTGTGTTTCCTCATTATCAGAATTTTCTGACCATTAATTGAACTTCATTCATTAGAATGAACTTCAAGATTCATTCAAGTAAAAATCTGAAAGCTACATTTTGGACTGTGCCTGAGAAGTATTAGTACCTGTTAAGTGGTAGCTTTAGGATATCATGTATTTACCTTTTTTCAGCACCCATTAACTGAGAACTTTTAAAAATACAAAAACTTCTCTATTTTCTTTTGCCCTTTGCTTCTGTCACAGTTTGTTCTTCATTTGTCATACATCAAGCACATATTTTCACTAACTATACCAGGTGTATGTACTGGAGGCCTTGCCCTATACTCATACTTTCAGGGGAAGACAAAAGTAGGTTGATGACAAGTGTCTTACAGAGATACAGAGAATTCCCAGCCATCCAGTGGTTAGGACTCTGTGCTTTCCCTGCCAAAGGCCCAGGCTGGATACCTGGTTGAGGAACTAAGATCCTGCAAGCCATGCAGCACAGTCCAAATAAAAAGATATAAAGATACACACAAGGAACATGGAAACTAACGGAGTACCTAATTTTGCCTGGGAGAGCAAGAAGGTTGAACCAGGTGATGTTTGATCCAAGTTTTATAGGATGATACTTTTAGCCAGATCAGGGAGTGAGGGAAAGAACTACAGGTAGAGGCATCAACATGTCAAGAAGTAGACGTGTGAGCTAACCTGATAGGAAACTAGCAGCAACTTAAGATGGCTAGGACACTGACATGTTAGAAAGTAACATATTAGCTATGTTAGAAAGGCTGCAGCTTTTAAAGAATTTATACTTTTCTTACAAAGATAGGCAGTCAATGAAAAAGGTAACATTTGTTTTTAAAGGGTAACTTTCATAATCTAGCAGAACTATTAGATGAGAATGATCCTTGAGGCAGGATCAGCTGAGATTCAGTAACTCCCAGTTGAGAAATTAAGCCTCACCGAGGTAGTGGCCAAGATGGATATGAGATATTTAGGAGGTACAAACCAAGACGATTTACCGGGTGTGCAGTGTTGGAAGAGAAAAATCTAAAGCTGGTAGATTTTTTGAAAAGAAACATTTTAAACAAATGGATTAATTCACCATCCCTCTTTTCCAGATTCGTGGTGCCCTTAATGCAATCAGAGGCTTGATTTCTGCCCATCCAGAAGAGAAGCCCAGAGCTGTTGTTACTCACAGCAGTGGAAACCATGGCCAAGCTCTCTCCTTTGCTGCCAGATTAGAAGGTACTTGATTAACTTCCCAGAGTCCTGGGTAGGATCATCAGAGGAGTGGAAAAGTATCCTTAACTTTCAGTGAGATTGGTGATAGCCATGGAAATAAATTTCCCAGCCCCTGATTACAAGCGAACTGAACAGAGGTTTCTATCCTAAATTCTGATCTGTACTAACTAAACATTGTTTCTCCCTCCCAGGGATTCCTGCTTATATCATAGTGCCAGAAACAGCTCCCAACTGTAAAAAACTGGCAATACAAGCCTATGGAGCCTCTATTGTATACGGTGAACAGAGTGAAGAGGTAAGGGAGAGAATGTTCAGCACCACCACCCAGGGTTCATGGCCACATGAAACCTCTTACCTCACCGGGTGCAGCTTCCGGTCTCCTTTGTTGTTTCCTTTTTAAATGTTGGCATGCCCATCACTCAGATGATCTACTCATGGTCTCCTAGTTTAAAACTTCTAACTCCAGTCCTGACCTTTGCTCTTAGCCCAGACTTGTTTTTTTTTTTTTAAACAAACTTAAGAAATTGTTATTTTTTCAATATTTGGCTGAGATGGGTCTCAGTTGTGGCATGCAGGATGTTTGATCTTTGTTATGGCATGTGGGATCTTTAGTTACAGTATGCAAACTCTTAGTTGCAGCATGTGGGATCTAGTTCCCTGACCAGGGATGGAAACCTGGTCCCCTGCACTGGGAGCATGGAGTTTTAGCCACTGCACTACCAGGGAATCCCAGAAACAAAAATTCTTGCCATCACTTGTGGCCCAGATGAACTGGCCCATTACTACTTTTCTGATCTCACTTTCCACTGTTACTTTCCCCCCAACACTCCACACCAACCACACTTGGGTTTCTCAAAGCCAAGCACTCCTATTCTGTGGTCTTTGTACTTGCTGTTCCTCTCTCCCTGGAATATTCTGTGGAGACACACAGGACTTGTTCAAATGCATTGTTCTCCAAGGCATGTATTTACTTATACCCCACCCTATCCCATTATTTTAGAATGCAACTCCACTGAGTGCAGGGGCTGCTCTGTTCAGTCACATCCTCAGTGCCAGAACCAAGTCTGAGAAAAGCAGCCAGCCAATGAAGTGTTAAATGACCGAATCTAACTTGTTGGGGACTCTATTTAATACAGATAAAGTAAGCTAAAATAATGTCCTCTTTCAGTCCAGAGAAGATATGACAAAAAGAATTGTGGAAGAAACAGAAGGCATTATGGTGCACCCCAACCAGGAGCCTGCAGTGATAGCCGGGCAAGGGACAATTGCCATGGAAGTGCTACACCAGGTAACCGCTTAGCTGCTCAGCTGCCAGGAGTGCTGATGTCTGGCCACAGAACCAGCTCTTTCCTATGTACATATAAAACTGGTTATTAACACACACCTATTTTAGTACTTTATATTCTTTTCACTGCAGGTTCCCTTGGTAGATGCACTGGTGGTACCTGTAGGAGGAGGAGGAATGCTTGCTGGAATAGCCATTACAGTGAAGGTGAGAAAACAGCTTCTGGAGGACTCCCCACTTCAGGCACAGAAGTTTATTTTGTATTATAGTACATTGTGAATACTTGCTCAACATTCCCCCCAAACTGCCATTCCTTCTTATTATCATAGCCTGGCACTTGAGATGGAAGGCTCTTCTCTGCATCACTACCCTTTTCTTAATGAAAACTTTACAGCATAAAAGCCATTACAATGAGTGGCACCCTCACAGTCCCTTGAATTCCATCTCACCAACTTACTATCCAGGTCAGGAGCTACCCCTTTCCCAAGTCACCAGCAGAACCAGCTGTGATCTAGGCAACTGAAGGCCAGTAGAAAACAATTTTAACTGCTTAAAGGCCTTATTTCCATTACATAGATTAAAAGAAAGGTTCTTGGGCAGAAATGTGTTAACTGTACCATCTGTTTTACTGCAAACATGCGGGCAAAATGCTGTGGCTAGTTGTAAGGTATCTAATATTCCTCTTTCTAGGCTCTGAGACCTAGTGTGAAGGTATATGCTGCTGAACCCTTGAATGCAGATGACTGCTACCAGTCCAAACTGAAAGGGGAACTGACCCCCAACCCCTATCCTCCGGAAACCATAGCAGATGGTATCAAATCCAGCATTGGCTTAAACACCTGGCCTATTATAAGGGACCTCGTGGATGATGTCTTCACTGTCACAGAGGATGAAATTAAGGTGAGGCTTCAAGAGGAAAGAAAACAAAAGAATGGAGCAACTTCTTAGGCAAAAACCCTCCTGTTGTAAATGGCAACTAACCCACAAGGGGACTTGACTAGGTGATTTCGTAACATGTGAGAGGGTGCTCTAGATGAGTGTCAAGACAGTAAAGCAAGTTAGAATGAAAAAAGCCCTGCCTTTCACCGGCAAACACAAACATATCACAAACAGGAAAACTCAGACTGGGCATACACCCCCATTTGGCCTTTAATCATAGAGGCCAACCAACTAGGCTCCTTACCCCCTTTCCCACGTCACTAATTCTTACTCCCTTCTATACCGACAGTATGCAACCCAGCTGGTGTGGGAGAGGATGAAATTGCTTATTGAACCTACAGCTGGTGTTGGAGTGGCCGCTGTGCTGTCTCAGCATTTTCAAACAGTTCCCACAGAAGTAAAGAACATCTGTATTGTGCTCAGTGGTGGAAATGTAGACTTAACCTCCCTAACTTGGGTGAAGAAGCAGGATGAAAAGGCAGCTCCTTAGCAATCTGTTTCTGTTTAAAATGTGCAAAAGGAAGAAAAGGGACTCACGTGTCTAGACACTTGTAAATTTTGTCTCCTGGTCATTGTCAAGTTCCTATTATCCCCTCTAAAATAGCCTTCAAAACCCTAATGGAGAATGTGTATTTCAGTAAGATTTAATAGTATTTTTTGGACTAAGTTGAACTATAAAAACATCCATACTTAACTGAGACACCTTCTCAAGGCCAAGAAAAGTCTTCCGCACGAAGGAGCAGGATCCCTTAAGTAGGCTTAAGTAGAAAGCACAAACTGGGCAACCACAACCTACAGGCTCCCATCCCTAGAGTGCGCAGTAGTAGCAGCGAGACAGAATCCCACTGAATCCATTACTCCATGTCCATTTCAGGCACTGCTGAAGAAATCTCACTTTTCACCCAGGGGACTGGTTCTGGTACATATGGATCATAAGTCCACTTGGGGAAAACTCTCTTATAAAGATTCATCAGTACTGTGTCCTGAGATTTTAGCTTCCCATCAAAAGTGCACTTCATGTGACCGTGAGTACCTAGAATGCAAACAGAATGAGTTGGTCATATTAATAGAAAACTTTAAAGCAGTGGTCTCCTAATCCAATGGTCATTTAACAGCACTGAGGAAGTCTACACAAGCTCCCAAATCACACATTTTCTTACCTAAAGGCTCCTTGATGTGGCCCCTGCGGCCCCATTTTGTTCTCAGTTCCACAGGTTTAAACCACAGTACATCCTCTTAGATAAAGAAACACACGAAGACCAGAATGAAACACCTATCCATAATGTATAAAGCCAACCTTCATCCCACAAAGGCAACTGGATCCCCTGTCACACCTACCTCTGTTGAAAAACATGTAACGCACCACTGCCGTCTTAGTAAAAATTTTGAAAGGATGACCACTCAGAACAACTCTCTTGATGACCATCCTGTCTGGATCCACTGACAAGAGATGGCCTGTGGCAATGAGGCTGTGCATTCCTGAGGGGCAAAAGCAGAGCAGCAGGAGGCTTCTGGTCAAAGCCTTCACTTATTGTCCAGTCTATTTAAAGACCTATGAGAGTTTGGGGAGATCCAGTGGGGATGTACTATGTGGCCCCTCCTGAGTTCATGGCCAAGATCACTGATATTCCTGCTGAGCCTGTCCTCAGAACCTGCCCTAAATAGAGCACCCTGAGCAGCCTCCACCAATTAGCTAAGGTTTGCAAGCAAGATAAAAACCCCATTTGTCATCCTGAAATTGGGATAATTTAAAAAACATCATTACCTTTTTTGTTACCATTTGACTCCCAATTTAAATACAGAAAGCAGTTAATCTTATTAAGGACCCACAGGCCTATTCACCTCTGTGAACTCAACTTACCATTGCTGTTCTGTTTGAAAAGCAGCACAGACGCAGGAGGAAAAGTGATCGGGGCATATACCGTGACCACCAGGGCTGTGTCTGCAGTCAGGAACCTCTGAAGTTTATGTTTATCCGCTGCCATTAAAAGAATAAAAACCAGGACATATTTTGAGAAACAATAGGTAATCCAGAGGCTTGTGAAAAGCTGTATCACTGGAACTAAGGCAACTAATGTTTCTTTATCCTACTACTTCTCCAAACATTTTCTGGCCTCTGTACAACTGAAAAATACAACCCTATCCTAGCAGAGTGATTTTTCAAGTAGGAGGCAGAGTCTTGGAGCTTGAACTGTATTTGGGGGTTTGAAAAAATTCTCCAGGTGATCCTGATACATATCACCCTACCTCATTTGACAATCGGCGCTTTACAGAAAAACACTCCACTAATTCAACAGCTCTTAGTCTTGAACAAGGATTGGCAAACATCTTCTATAATCAGAGTAAGTATTTTAGGCTCTGTGGCCATAGAGTCTCTCTTATAATTACTCAATTCTCACTAAAGCACAAAAACAGCTACAGACAATACATTATTTTAAATTAATACTGAAAGTTATAAAATATTTTAAGGGCAATATCAATCCCTTCATTTAGACAGCATGGTTGGTGAGCAAAGAAATTATCCAGAGCATCCATTAATACTGCCTTTTTTCACCTTCCTCTGGCCACTGCTGGGGGCTGAGAATGTGGGTAACGTTCAGACATACTGCAAGTATCTTCCCACTCTAAAGACTGTAAGAGGACAATCATTTTTTGTCATAGGAGTATCCCTGGTCATCACTGTCCAAAATCTCATCTCATCTCAAGATCTCAGAAGCCATACACCTCTGCTTTATCCAACTGTGGGCTACCCCCTAGACTTCACCCACTGGGACATCAGATGCCAAGGGTTCCATGACACGTCATTTCTTGAAAGTTGCTGACCCCTATTCAACACTGACTGCAGCAAATACTCATGGTAGAGGAGCCTCAGCACCACATAGAGGTTGCATCACTGGGATGCTTCAGACAGGTTCAGACATTTTGAATGGAAACATCATTGGCTCCTAAACCAGAGCTTGAAATGGTGTATTCTGCACACCCCATCCCCATACTCCCACCCCCTGCTGCAAAATCAAAGTCCCCTAAAAGACAGTAAGATGGACAAAACCCCAGAAACTTCCCTGATGCTTACCTGCAGTGTGCTGAGAGAATAAAGGTGAGGCTCGGAAGCGCCTGAATCCACAGTGGAAGATCAGCTCCTCTTTAGCTTTCACAGGTTCAGTGTTGCCAGGGTGCCGGCTCACCACCATATTAAGTACTGACATCTGGGGACCAAGTAGAGAAACAGAATTTATCAGAAATAGAACACTCTAAAGTAAAAGAAGGCAAACCAAACCAGCAGACTGGGTTCACCCTAAGAGCTGACAATACTAATTTATGTGATTGTTTAGTCACTAAGTTGTGTCCAACTCTTTTTGTGACTCCATGAACTGTAGCCTGCCAGGCTCCTCTGTCCATGGGATTTTCCAGGCAAGAATCCTGGAGTGGATTGCCATTTCCTTCTCCAGGGGATCTTCCCAACCCAGGGACTGAACCCGCATCTCCTGCACTGCAGACAGATTCTTTACTGCTGAGCCACCTGGGAAGCCCTATACTAATTTATGGTATAGTATAAATGATGAAACACAAATCCATCTTTTACCTTCACTAATAACTAGCGTTCAAAGTGAAAATAGGCTGACTTTCAGAACTTTCATGTCCCTGCTATACTAGTTGACCTTCCCATGTGTAACATGCAAGGGTTCAACATCTACCACAAAATCAATGACTACAAGTCACTCACTAACCACACACAGCCAAACCACACTCATTTAAGACTCTTCTTGCTTCAACCATTACTCACATTGACCAAAGGGCAGAGCTCTCTTACACCCCAACTTATATGACTGCTGGCCACCAAGAGAAAAAAGATCTATACCTTGGCATGAAAGTGAAAGTTGCTCAGTCGTCCAACTCTTTGTGACCCCATGGACTATACAGTCCAAGGAATTCTCCAGGCCAGAATACTGGAGTGGGTAGCCTTTCCCTTCTCCAGGGGATCTTCCCAACCCAGGGATCGAGCCCAGGTCTCCCACATTGCAGGTGGATTCTTTACCAGCTGAGCCACAAGGGAAGACCATACCTTGGCAGAAGCCCTCCTTATTTTTATGGATGCCAATCCTTGACTAAAGTCTGATCTGACAGACATACTTACGTCAGAGAAGTCTCAGAACCATACAGAGATGACATCACTGAGATGCATCAGACAGGTTCAGACATATTAGGTAAAACCATCATCGACTTCTCTGTCATCCTCTCCTGACTCCTCATCATAAAGGCAGACTTTCACATCCCAAGGAGCAAAACATCAGCCACATAAAACATTAGGCTGTCATATAAAACTGGTTGCAAAGTGCCATAACTCCCATTTCCCACAAGACACTAACTCACCTTCTGTTCATGAGGTAGTAACGAAAATGCAATCAAGGGTGTGCCTCGCTTGAAGTGCTCAACCACTGAGACAGGGACTTCAGAGACATGAAGTGTGACATACCAGCCAACCTTCGGGAGAAAGCAGAATACAATCATGCAGTTACTCTTATGGTCTCAATAATGACGAAGCATTTCTCCAGCTATGTTAACAGTCTCCCAGACATTGATAAAGCCAGTGCTCACCCTCCAAGACTGCCTTGCACAGTTGCCTCAACCACCCAGATTAAGCTTTCCCAGTTAACATCTCTGACATCTCTTTGTTCCCAGTATCACTCTGATCAGTAACTCGGTAGCTTCTCTAAGTCAGCTGAAGGCAGCATAAAACTCATTAAGGTACTCATGCCAAGAGAGTGAGTAGGGGGAGGGGGGACAGACACGACCTTGCAAATAAGCAAATTATAGGGATGGACAAAGGAAAGCAGATACCTCAGCTCCTTCAACTTCTTCTTCAATCTCTTTAAAGATGCGTCTCCGGGTATTAATAAAGTTCTGAAACTGAAAGATCCGAGCATAATCTCGAGGGAGGTTTTCCTTAGGATCCCAAGGAGATGTCCGGAAGCTCTTAAGGCCTCTGTATTTCTGAAATCTAGAATATAGATGATATTTTAAAGAAATTCACAGTGACATTTATATGGTGCTACTTAACTGTTTCACTCAACTCACTTAAAATGCCTAAAGCTTAAAATTTAAAAAAAGGAAAAAATTTTTAACTTTTAAAAATTAAATAAATAAAATGGTTAAGGCTTTAGCTTAAAATAACTACCTTTCAAAATAACCTAATGGCCTAAATCAGAACCACCCTCCAAAAGAGCCAGTAACAAGTATTTCAGCACCAAACCCCAGCTTCTTCAAAGTATTAACAGTGGCTCCCTGCTGCATATTAGGGAGTGGCTCTTTAACCTGACTAGCAGGGTCCTTGATAAAAGCCTTACCCCTCTAACAACTCTGGTTTTAGTGAGACTCACCTTTAGAGCAGACAAGATCACCTTCACCCCTAACTCTTTGTTCTTGCTGTTCTACCCAAACTTCCCCAAATCTCCAAATGTTACATACTTTAATCGAGTCTTAGCTCCAAAGGAAGCATTTGCTAATTAATCCCAATTGTATTTCTGTAACATTATTAGTCTGTACTACACAGTGTAGAATGTGAATATATATGACTGTTCATACATAAGGTTAGCCCTTTGGGAGGAAGAACAATGTTTTTTCTTCTTTTATATCACACTGACATAGTTCTGAGCCATGTTAAGTTTTAAATAAAAATGTACTGATTAGTTCTGGACTTGTTGACTCACCGAATTCTAGCAGCCACATCACGGGGGGTATCTACTTCATCTGGGAACATCTCTTCCAGTCTTTCTTGTTTGTATTTCTCCAGCATTTTTTCCTCAGCCTCTTCATCCACTTTCTCATCATACAGATCATCACGTACAGACTCTCCTATAGTCATAGTTTCACATTCCTCCTCTTCTTCCTCTTCACTACCCTCGTCCTATAGAATGAAGGATCACAGTTTCTGAGGAAGCCCACATCTTTACACAAAAGGCCACTACGCTGCAGTTTACTAGATACACAGTCCAAACCAATATTAACTCTAATAGAGACTGAGTTATAAAACAGAGTCTCATTCCAGCAACTACAAAGCTATTCCTAAGAAACACATACCCCTTAAGGTCAGGAAGGCACCTTGCCTTGCATTGGGGGCTATACACAGAGGGTGCCCAAGGGCCCATTTCCTTACCTGAGATTCCTCTTCCATAAAATTCTCGTGTTCTGTATCATCGTACTCATCTCCTTCCCCACCACTTTCACCATCCTCATCCAGAATCCATTCAGCTTGATAACTGGATGTTCCCTTGGGAACCTTCTTTACAACCTTGGAACTTTCCTTCAGTAAGTCTGTAAAAGCCCAAATGAGTTAAGTTACATACCTCCTCCTTTCTTCTATGACACAGGATATATTGCTACCAATACCAGGAACTCTGGCAGGCACTTATAAGTTTATTTCAGCTGCCTCAGAACTAGCAATAGCAATACTAACATGGTTAAACAAGTCTTACAGTGAGTCGGAAGTTATTTTCCCATTCATTAGGAAACAGTAATTCTTAAAGAGATAGAGCAAGTGCAAACTATGGCCTTTGCAGGTAAGAGAAGACAGACTTCCAGTACTTCCTCAACTGTGCTACCTTTTAAGGTCCTCACTGTGAGCAGTTAGACAAAACCCACAATTCCAGGCCAGACGAATTTGAAGTCTGCCAATACCAACCATGTGCCTCGCTCAGCTCCTCTTCTGTGGGCCAGGTCTGCTCCCCCTCCATTGGGTCTGGGATAACCTCTGTTTGCAAAGATGCTTGTCTATCAGGGTCTGCCTTCATTAGAACCTTCAGGTCTTCCTCCATATCAGCTACAGCATCTGCAGAACAAATCTGAAAACCCAGTCGACAATTAACTGTTACCCAAAAATCTACTAAATCTAACATAATTAGAAAGATCTAGAAGAGCATAGCCCTCAAATAAAATAGAAAGCCAAAACTTGTCAGGATTTTTCAAATGGTTCTGTTTCCTAGCATTCTAAATCTATAAGTCTAGCTCTTGAAGCCTTTCATAATCTGATCCCATGCCTACCTGTTTAGTACTCCCAGCCACTGTTATCCTCAGAGTTCAAAGAAACCCTTTGATCTATCACTTTGCCTAGGCTCAAGTTGTCTCTATTTGCTAGGAAATTCTTCCACCACTTTTCAACTCATAAAACACATTCATCCTTCTCAATACCTGGCACAAGTCGATCCCTTCCGTGAATCTTGCCAGTCTTTTTCTCAACTTCCACTGCAGGTATACTTTCTCAGTCTTTATTTCACAGGTGTTTGCCATTTTTCTGACCTAATTAAGTTGTCTAAGGAGAGAAACTACAGCTGTGTCTATCTACAGACTCAGAGCCAATTGCTATGCAAAGCATCTACAAAGCACTGAGTAAATATTTAATATATCAACTTATTTGTAGTTGACTATTGCCTTATTTCACAATTACCTCCAGGGACTAGGATATCTGTCCAAGTGTGTAGCCATACTACTTTCTCTGAAGTTAATTAGTTTTCATCCATGATTGTACAAGACATAGTTTTTAAGAACGCCAATCTTACCTCCATTGCCGTGCCTGAGTCCTTTGAGGATCTGATCACTCTCAGATTTAAAGGGAAAGGGTCCACGGGGGCATCTATCTGCTTCATCTGGAAATCACCATGTCCAATGATATGCAGCACGCTATTTACATTCAGAGCCTGCCCACGAACATAGCCTGAGATCTTCAAGGTGCCCATCAAGTCATTCTCTTCACTAGGCACAAAGTCAGCAGCATGAGCAAATAGATAGGCACGCCGATCTCGAAAGGCAAGATGCCGTTGCTTTTGGTTAGCCAACTGCCTGAGCAGCATCCCTGCCTCCTGCTGAGTATCTAACAGGAGGAGTTTGTCCTCAGGAAAGCGCTTCTCCACTGCTTTACTTAGCTTTCTTCTGGCATCTATTTGTTTCTTCAGCGGGAGGCTAGAAATCCCTTGAACAGCTAACGCTGTGAGCAAAAGAGAAAAGGTTTCATGACTTGTTGCTTCACTACATGAAAATCTCCCCCCTGCAGTTTACAAACAAGCTAATAATTCAGTTGTGAGCCCAGAGATCACCAGGCAACCCACCACTCAGTTACCCTAAAGAAATTTCACAATAAAACCAAACTTCATAATCTTCTTTCTCTGGGCAACTAGCAGTCCAGAAATAAAAAGGCACCTTAATACCTGACTTGTAAATAATGGACCAAGTTAAGGCCACACATACTCGTACGACCCCCCCCCCCAATAATATCAAGCGTTAGACATAGTGTCTGGCAAATTACAGGTGCATAAATGCTAATTCAGTTCCTTTCTTGACCTGCAATACTTCCAACTCACTTACTATAGGTGGGAAGGCCCTGAGCAAACAGGCAAGAAAGGCAGTAATCCCCGATGCTATCCCAGCCTTCTAGTGGATCAAGGAGGAACAGGATGGTATCAGCCACTTTAGCCATGTCTAGCACAGTGTGCAGATCCCCTGGAATAGAAGACAAAGTCATAGGATAAGGTGGTTGACATCAGGACATTTTACTCAGAGTATTACACTAATGCTCAAAACATAGTGATCGGAAATATTGTTGCATACTCTAACCTGGCCTTGCCGATGTGAAAAACCACCGATGTTTCAAGCGGGGGCATAACAGCATAAAGCTATGGGTGCTTCCCCGTTCATTCAAGTGTACAGTTCCAGTGTCCCTATCCTGAAGCAGCCGAAAGGCCTCTGGCAGGGAAATCCTGTCGTGCAAGGGCACCACCAGTACCTGATGAGGAGGGCCATCCTTGCTGCCAAGCTGTCTCTTTTCTGCCAAAACCTGCGGAAAGAAAGGATCAGAGAACACCTCAGTGTTTCAATACTTTATTCCAGTACTGCATTTCCAACAGTACAGAGGCCCATCCTCAGCATCCAAAAAAGCATCTCTCTTGTTAAAAGGTGTCAGGTATGCCAAGGAGGTGGGCAGGAGGTAGGCACAAAGCTACAGCATAAGTCTGGGCCTGCACACCTGACACGTGCTCTAGAGTTATCCTCCATCTCTGACCCCCTTCCCAGGGTCACATTTTCTAGTTCGAGGCATTACCCGCCTAGAAAGGTTGTGAAGCCACACCAGTCCCCGAGCCCCCAGTCCTCTCACCGCCTCCTTCTTCTGCTTTCGGAGCTGGCTGGCGCGATGCCTCTGGTCCACCCTGCTGAGATCTTTTCTCACCTTCTTGCTGAGGGTTTTCGGTGCTAGACGGCCTGGAAGGATATCAGACCTTTCTGATCTTGCGCAAAGCACTAGCAGGTCAAGAAAGGGGACCCCTGCCTGCCCTCCTTAGACCCTTTGCGCGGGGTCCAGGCCGGAAGCAGGAACTCATTCTGGGCACGAAGAAAAGCAGTTAATATCGACTAAACAGCTCTTCTTCCTCCAACCCTACCTTCTTACCCTTGCCGTCTCGCTGCGCGGACCCTCGACCCCGATGCCGCCCGCCTTTATGCGCTTTATTCTGCTGCTTAAGCGGGCCTGAGCGATGGGCCGCCATGCTGCAGTTCACGTGTACCAAGTCGCCACTACTTCCGGGCTGAACAGATCGCTTCCTGTTCCCGCCTCGGGGGCGTGTCCTCCCCTAGCGGGGCGGGGCTCCTCGAGATCTCTCGCGAGGTTCATTTACACACGCCTCTAGACTAAACCTCCGCGTAAACTTTTCCCGGACTGGTGGTCTGCTCTGGGGAGACTTGAAAACATCGGATGTGGGCTCGAGGTTTGGTCTTTCCGTTTCGGAGGGCCGATATGCTTCCTTGAGTTTTGATTTTTTTTGCGCTATCATGTTGCATCACTTAGGAAGATTCTCCATTCGTGCGGTAGAGGGCTAAGTCCCTCCTCTAAGCTAGCTTAGTTAGTGCACGCCGCTCCTCGATTGGGCGCAGCAGGTGTTCCTTGTCACTTTGAGCCACCGTTTGTCGCCCTCAGTTCCCAGGTGGGGCTGTTAAGCCTACCAGGCAAATCGTGCGGAAGGCGCTTGTCTCACATCCAGTTTTCGTGCCAGTTCCCGCTGGTCCCAGTTACCCCAACCCGCGCCACCACCTCCCAAGTAGCTGCGAGAAAAGCCAGACGGGTGGTGGCGACCCCTCGGAGGAGGGACAGCTGACCGTGAACGGCACCCTCAGAGCCAGCCGCGCCTCTGCAGACGGGGGCGGTTGCTCTCCCACTCCTCTTCCCACAAGCTTTGCAACGGAGGGCGCCCAGCCGTCAGGGGGTTTTAAAGAAACGATGGCGCTCCACCGCCTTCCTCTCAGCCGGGGGACCAACACGGGCTTCCCAGTAATCAGACGAGGCGCGGGGGTCCCGGGCCCTCCCATCGGGAAATCGAGCGTGTAGGAATCACGGAACATCCAGCTGGATGAGAGCCAGCTTCCGCAATAGCGACTTGCCCCTCTTAGCCGCCCTGGGGGGTCCAGGGGCGCGCCCCGCCTCCCCGGCCCGGCGCTGTGCAGGGCGGGCGACCGGCGCTCACAATGCGGGTTCGCGCCCTCGGGGCTGGAGCAGGCGCGTTGCCATGACAGCGGCCCGCGTGGCGCGCGCCCGGGCACGCCGCCCCCAGGCACGCGCAGTCACCCCCCGCCCGACCCCCCGCCCCCGTGGCTGAGAGCACCCCACCACCCCGCCCCCAGCAGTGGGAAGGGGCCGGGCCAGGCTCCTGACGTCTGTGCGGGGCTCGGAAGATGGCTGCGGAGCCCAGCACCGGGCAGTGGCTGCGGCGGCGGTGGCGGCGGCGGCGGGCGGGGAGCGCGGCGGACTGGGGCTCCGCCTGGCGCGTGGGGCGCTGAGCCGAGAGGCGCGGAGGCGGCGAGGGCGCGTGGGGGGCATAGGGGGGCCGCTGGGCACCTCCCCTCGGGTCAGCCGCCGCAAGATGGGCAGCGCGGAGGACGCGGTCAAAGAGAAACTGCTGTGGAACGTGAAAAAGGAGGTAAAGTCGGGGCACGGACCTCCGGGGGCTCGCGTTCCTGTCCTCACGGCCCACGGGACAGAAAGAGCTGTGCCCATCCCAGGGTGCGGGCGCTCGCGGGCCTCGGACGGGGGCCGGTCCTGGACTGGCTGCGGTTCCCGCCCGACTCCCGGATCACGGGCAGCACCCCTCGGCCCCAGGGGCTAGGCCAGCGCTTCAGGGTTTGTTTGCTCCGCGATCCCGCAGCTCCCCGCCCTGCGACAGCAGCAGCTCTGGGAGACCGAGGGGGAGGGGTGGCGGCGATTTCTGGAAAACCGAGCTGCCCCTTCATTGCCCTCGCCGCCTGGGGAGGGGGCGGGGCCCGCGCTAAACCGGTGACCTGGGGGCTTAGCTCCGGTTTGCCCTACACCCCATTCGGTTATCTTTCTGGGAACTGAGTCTCGGCTACATGAGGGTTCGCCGCACACCACGTCTCACTCCACGCCCACCTCCCTACCCAGAGGCCAGGGGGGCTTTTTGAGAATGGTTTTTAAGACTCAGATTTTTTTTTTCCCCCTTTTGAGGAACCCCTCCCCCCCCCCCCCCCCCCGCCCATGTCACAAAGAGAAGTCCTTCCCTGTGCGTACTAATGTCCTCTCCTTTGTCCCTGCCCTAAAACCCATTTCAATTCCTGGGGCGGAGGTGGGGGGAGGTGCCCGTGTGAATGACTCACTCGCAAAGGCACGCTGGAGAGCTCCAAACCCACAGAGTGGATTAGAATGGATGCGGCCTCTGGATGGAGCCCTGGACTCTTCCCATCTACCTCTGTCGGCCAGATGTGTCAACTCCATGAGGGCAGGAAACCTGTTTTACCCAGAACTCTGTGTCCATACCTGGCACACAGTAGGCACTCAGGGTTGTTGTTCAGTTGCTCAGTCATGTCTGACTCTTTGTGACCCCATGGACTGCAGCGTGCTAGACTTCCCTGACCTTCACTATCTCCCAGAGTTTACACAAACTCATGTCCATTGAGTCGATGATGCCATCGACTTGTCTTCTGTCACCCCTTCTCCTCCTGCTCTCAATCTTTCCCAGCATCAGGCTCTTTTCCAGTGCACTGGCTTTTCTCATCAAGTGGCCAAAGTATTGAAGCTTCAGCTTTAGCAGCAGTCCTTTCAATGAATATTCAGGGTTGATTTCCTTTAGGAATGACTGGTTTGATCTCAGTGATCATTGGCACTCAAAAAATGTTTGATAAATAAGTCTGTTGATCTTGGAGACTGCAGAGTCTGATGGGAATGCATAAACTTTGAAATAGTCTGGACCTAGCTGTTTGTGATCTTGAATAAGTTACTTAACCTTTCTGAGTCTCAATTTCTACATCTCTAAAATAGGGATACTGATATTTAGCTGATATATAAAAGTTTACCATATTGGTACCTTTCCCCTTTCCTAGAGGTTGCATATCAAAGAGCAGAGACATTACTTTAATGACAAAGGTCTGTATAGTCAAAGCTACGGTTTTTCCAGTAGTCATGTATGGATGTGAGAGTTGGACTATAAAGAAAGCTGAGCGCTGAAGAATTGATGCTTTTGAACTGTGGTGTTGGAGAAGACTCTTGAGAGTCCCTTGGGCTGCAAGGAGATCAAAGAATGCAATTCTAAAGGAAATCAGTCCTGAATAGTCATTGGAAGGACTGATGCTGAAGCTGAAACTCCAATACTTTGGCCACCTGATACGAAGAACTGAGTCATTGGAAAAGACTGATGCTGGGAAAGGCAGGAGGAGAAGAGGACGACAGAGGATGAGATGGTTGGATGGCATCACTGACTTGATGAACATGAGTTTGAGCAAGTTCTAGGAGTTGGTGATGGACAGGGAAGCCTGGTGTGCTGCAGTCCATGGGGTGGCAGAGTCAGACACAACTGAGCGACTGAACTGAGAGGTTTCAGGACTGGAGAAGGCTCAGGGTTCTTATAGAATTCTGGAAGGCTCATAATTAAGGCTCTGCATTAATTATAACCTGGCTATTGTGCCCTAAACTTGGTTCCTTCCTTCCTGTTGGCAAACAGGCAGTTGAAGCCATCACCTTTCCAACTGTGTTTGAGAAGCTCCATTATGCTTTTGCTATGAAGTGGCCAAGAGTTTAAGTCCAGGAGTATATCAAATTAACATTTAAGCCCCAACTCTTGTCTCCCCAAGGAAAAAAGAAATCTTAAATCCCAGTGATTATCCTCAGGAAACAGTGTAGTGACAGAGACTTATATGAACAGTGTAAACAAGAATAAAAATGTAGCTATATCCAAACTATGGGTACATGTGCTAGGATTGTTGATGTGTTCCAAATTTGGGGTTAGTCAGGGATGATAGGAAAGATTTCAGGGAAGGCAGTGTTGAGAAGGGCTGTCTGTGCTACTCTGAGAATGATTCTTAAACAAATGTGAGAAATGTCCAGGATATGCCACAGCTCTGTATATGACCTGATAGAGGTTGACCATCTCTGAGTTCCTAGTTCCCTTAACCTTCAGGGCTAGATTTTGAGAGAAACATATCCTTTCTGATCCTACACATAGAGACAGTGGGGGTGATTGTTGACAAAGCTGGCTTTTCACAAAGGACCTGTACTCCTCTTTTTTTTTTTTTATGGTCTGCACTGCATGGCTTGCAGGATCTTAGCTCCCTGACCAGGGTTTGAACCTAGGCTCCAGGAGTGAAAGCACAAAGTCCTAACCATTGGACCACCAGGGAATTCCCAGGGCGTAGATATGTGTGTGTGTTAGTCACTCAGTCGTGCCCGACTCTTTGTGACCCCATGGACTGTAACCCGCTAGGCAGCTCTGTCCATGGGATTTTCCAGGTAAGGATACTGGAGTGGGTTGCCATTTCCTTCTCCAGGGGGTCTTCCCAACCCAGGGATCGAACTTGGGTCTCCTGCATTGCAATAAGACTCATTACTGTCTGAGCCACTAAGAGCATCTATAGGTCCTCCTAATCAAAAAATCTGCCCCAGCAGCCTGCCTTAGATGTCTCCTGGTCTTTGAGTTGTGACATGATGCTCTGTTTAATGCAAACACCCCTTGGGAAGTAGTCTAGGAAGCTTTTAATAGTTTAGAGTACAGGATCGATCAGATCCTCCTTTACCTAAACCACTAACCATGAGCACTTTGCAGTAAGGAGGAGACTCCTGGTCCTTCCTCCATCCTCCCCAGACTTTAGAAGCTCTACCACCTTCCAAACAGAAGTGAGGACCTGGAGAGCAAGGGCAGCATCAGGACGCTGGACACAGGACACTGTCCAAAGAATGGCAAAGACTCGGTCTGACCAGAGCTCACTGAATCAGTAAGATTGAAGACAGGGATTGAGGTAATCCATCCCTCTAATCTTCAGTATTAGTGTTTGTCTCTTGGCAGGTTCCCCCAGGGGCTTCCCTGGTGGCTCAGATGGTAAAAAATCTGCCTGCAATTCAGGGGACTCAGGTTCAGCCCCTGGATGGAGAAGATCCCCTGGAGAAGGAAATGGCAACCACTCCAGTATTCTTCCCTGGAGAATTCTATGGATAGAGGAGTCTGGTGGACTACAGTTCATGGGGTCGCATAGAGTCCAACACGACTGAGCCACTAACACACACACACACACACACACACTGACTCACTCACTCACTCACTCCCCCAGGGCATCAAAAGTGCTTGGCTTCAATGTTGGGAGCAACTAGAACCTCCTATACTGCTGATGGGACTGTAAATTGGCAAAATCTCATAATGCCAAATACCCTCATCAGAAATTCCTTGCCTAAAAATATAAATCCAAAGAAATGAGCCCCCATGTTCACACAAAGACACATCTAGAGTATTCATAGCAGCACTGTCCATAACAGCCCCAAATTGGAAGCTACCCAAATGCCAGTCAGCTGTGAGTTGTTCACACAATGGAGAATGAAAGATGCACATCCACATACAACATGAGCAAATCTCACAGGCACACAACTACACACTGAGCAATTCCATCTATAAAAAGCACAAAATCCCACACATGTGCTCTATGATGTTAGAAATCAGTATAGTGGGTACCTTGGAAGGAAGTAGTGACTAAAAGGAATCATGGCAGAGTCTGGGGCTACATTAGGGTGCTGGTCACGTGTTGTTTCTTGAGCTGATGCTGCTTTCACAGGTGTGTTCAGTTTGTAGAAATTCTTCAAGCTGTGAAATTATGATATATTTGTTGTTGTTCAGTGGCTCAGTAGTGTTGGACTCTGTGCAACCTCATGGACTACAGTATGCCAGGCTCCTCCGTCCTCCACTGTCTCCCAGAGTTTGCTCAAATTCTTGTCCACTGAGTCGGTGATGCTATCTAACTAACTTACCTTCTGCTGCCCCCTTCTTTTGCATTCAATCTTTTCCAGCATCAGGGTCTTTTCCAGTGAGCCAACTCTTCGAATTAGGTGGAGCTTCAGCAATAGTCCTTCCAATGAATGTATACCCTTTTCTATATGTTCATTATACATCAATTTAAAAGCTTTTTAAAGTGCTTTCTAAAGAAAGCTGTGACTGCTTACCTTACAAGGTGTTCTGAAGCTTTTACACTCTGGTAGGAACCCAAACATAGAGTTCTGCCTAGACAGAGAGAAGGCTAGGCTCGTGAGCGTGTGGGGAGTGTCCCTGATACCTGGGTGGACCTGCCCTCCCCTGGGAGAAGGGAGAAAAGGAGGGCCAGGTGTCTCCCTGCAGCCTGTACTGAGACAATTTGTCCCTGAAGGACAGCCCACAAGCCCTTCCGCAGCCAAGGACGGAAGAACAAGTAGCATCCCATCCCCGTTCTCCACAGCAGGGCCCTTCCTCCTGGGTTGGAATATCTGAACTGATTGATTAGTGGGCTTATAGCACCGTTTTCAGCTTCCCTGATGGTTCAGTTGGTAAAGAATCTGCCTGCAGTGCAGGAGACCTGGGTTTGATCCCTGGGTTGGGAAGATCCTCTGCAGAAGGAAATGGCAACCCACTTCAGTATTCCAGCCTGGGAAATCCCATGGACAGAAGAGCCTGGCAGGCTACCTTTTTCTGGCTGCCTTTCCAAGACACTTGGCGATGTTTGTACTGAAGAAACTTTGCTTCCCCACCCCTCCCATTCCTGTCCTCTACTCTGTAAGTGGCTGAACTCAGACCAGGTGGGCAAGCCAGGCTATTTACTTGCTCACAGGCCTTTGAGCAATCAGTCAATCAATAACGGTGCCGCCCATTTATTCACAGGTGAAGCAAATCATGGAGGAGGCTGTCACCAGGAAGTTTGTGCATGAGGATAGCAGCCACATCCTTGCTCTGTGTGGTGAGTGAGTGACTGGAGGGTAATGAGAGAGGGGTTTAAAAACTGAGGATACTGCCATGGGGCCACAGGAAAAGTCCTCGGGGTTAGTAGTTTTCAAATTGGGTTGTAGGTCAGAATCAACTCAGAAGCTTGTGAAATCTTGTTGGGTCCCATCCCAGACCTACTGAATTAGGATCTCCAGGGCCCAAGAATCTGCTTTATATTCTAGTCCCTAAAGACAGTAGTGCTCAAATTTTAGCCTCATAGTCACCTGCTATTGTTGTGTTTAGGGGCCAAGTCATGTCCCACTCTTTGTGATCCCAGGGACTGTAGTCCGCCAGGCTCCTCTCTCCATGGGATTCTCCAGGCAGGAATATTGGAGTGGGTTGCCACGCCCTCCTCCAGGGGATCTTCCCAACCCAGGGATCAAACTCACGTCTCCTGTGTCTCCTGCAGTGGCAGGCAGATTCTTTACCACTGAGCCACTTGGGAAGCCTAGAGCCACCTGTCGGGCTTGTTAAAACAGGTTCCTGGGTCCCAGCTCTGGAGTTTCTGATTCTGGTATCTCTGGGGTGGCCCCAGGAATTTGCATTTCTAACCAGTTCACAGGAGATGCCAGTGTTGCTGGTCCAGAGACCACACTTTAAGAACCACCAGCCTCAGTAGCTGGGTTGAGGAGCCACGGTGCTGGTTTATCCTTGCATTAACTTTGGGGATGGGCCTGTGCCTTTGGATGTTTTCTGTGCTACATCTGTTTTCAAATTAATCCCACCTGCGTTGCTTCACCGTTCCCAACTCTCCAGACACTCAATTGCATGCAAATCCACAGGAGGATCAAGGAAGGCTAGCTAAGACTTCCCCGCTCAAAGAGAAAGTCTGTAATAAACCACCGCTTCCTGCTTAGCGTGAACATTTCTGCCTTTGTAGCAGCAAGACTGTCTCTGCACACAACTGAGTTTTCTTGGATTTCCAGGAATTTGTCCATTTGCCATCTTTTTTAAAAGTATCTATTTGTGTATTCTTGCCTGTGCTGGGTCCTTGTGGCTGCACGGGCTGCTTTGTAGTTGCAGTGTGTGGGCCTCTCGTTGCGGTGACTTGTCTTGTTGCAGCGCATAGGCTCCAGGGCACGCGGGCTCGGTAGTTGCAGCTCCCAGGCTTCAGAGCACATAGTTGTGGTGCATGGGCTTAGTCGCTCTGCACCGTTTGCCATCTTTGTGTTGTTTTCCTTGTCCTCTGAGGTTTGTGTTTGGTGTTCATGGAAGGGAGGTTGTGCATTTCTGAGGGGAAAGAATGAAAGGAGCAGATCAAGAGAGGGACACTCCTGACAGCAGCATGGTGGGGCAGATAGAGCCGCCCTTCCCATCCGTCCAGCAGCAGACACTGAAGGCCCCCAGGTTCCAGATGCTTCCTCTTCCAGGCAGGGAAACAGCAGTGACAAGGTGAACTGTCTCTCTGTCCCCAGGGGGTTACACTCTGTGGGCAGACAGACAGAAAACAAAAGCACACAGGAATATATCCTGCAGTAACAGGTGTGGTAACAGCTGTGAAAAAAAAAAAAGCAGAGAAACGTGGGAGGCGACTGGGGAGAGGTGGCCTGTGAGCAGAGCCGGAGCAACAGGCTGAGGGTTCAGGCAAATCTTGATGCTCTTCTTGCTTCTCAAGTTGTACTGGACACGTTTCTTGACTTCTGTCACCCTCAGTCTGCTCCTCTGAAAACAGGGCGGTGATTCCCACCTCAAGGAATTTTCATGGGGATTGAGATGATGCATGTGAACATTCTTACATTTGTAAGAGCTCAGAAAAACGTCCTTCTTTCCTCCTCTTCTGGGCATTAAGGCTGAAGCTAGGTTTGCAGGATTTGAGGTCCTACTATCTCCCTTTTGGGTAAGTTGATTCTTTGAGATGATATAGCCCTTCTCAGGTCCACAGGACCAATCCAATCCCACCTTTTCTGTGGCAGAAGCCCTGCTGGGGAAAAACCATGCTAGTCTCGCAATATTTAAAGAGTATGAGAACCCTACTCCCTTCTACCTATGCTGAGTCCCCCTGACATGAGCCACTGTCTGTCATGGTCACCAGAAGGGCTCTGCTGGTCGCCCAGTGGCACCGTGGCAATGGTGCTTGGCTTCGCCCATAGCACACACAGCAAAAAGCACAGAACAATGAAACAGCGAAAACAGCTTGTCCATGGGTGCCGAAGGTGGGCGGCGGTAGGGGAGCAGGGGCAGAGAGGCAGGCGGAAAGCTGTGGGCCTCCCACCATCAGGTCCCTTAGGCTGAGAAGAAACGTGCCTGCTCGCCTCTGATCAGTCCAGGAAGGGGCCCCCGGGAGACAGCGGAGCCTTCACTGCTGCCTCTTGCCTTGAAGTCCATGGCTCTTTCCAGCAGGCAGAGGTACCACCTTCAAAAGGAGAGTTTCAGTCACTGAAATAGATCAAGAGTCTGTGAAATTGACCCAAGTATCCAGGGTTCTAAAACCAGCCCCAAAGCAAGAGGAGCCCGGTTTGGCTGGATTTCAGGAGGTACCTTAGGTCAAAGCGCAAACTGAAATGCCCACAGGGTCAGATGAGAAAGTCTGGATGTGGGACAGCAGGCAGTGGTCAGGAGTGGGTAGCCCTGGCAAGGTTTGAAGGGGGCAGCCACCACTCAGCTTCTGCAGGAATGCTGGTCCCAGCCTTGCCGTGGCCTTTGTTTTAAGAGAAGTCAGCAGTCTGGGTTTTTGTATGAAATGTCCCAGTTTTAAATGCTGATAACTTAACTCCCATTAAAAAAAAAAAATTGTGTGGGCTCAACAAGAGGCATCTGCAAGCCTCTGCCAGTTTGCTGCCTCTGCCTTGGGCTCAATGCACAGTCACTAAAGGGAACACCAGCAGGAGGGGCTGCCAGCAGAATAAAGCTAAGTTGAGCCAGGCATCTGAGACCCACAGGAAGAGGAATCCTTACACTGTGCTAATGGTGGTGTTCAGTGGTGAGGTGGATCCCAGCTTGGGCTCAAAGTAAGGTTGGTTTAAAGCGGTGATTATCAGCCCTTTCTCCTGCCTGCATCACATGGTAGAATCATAACCAGGGATTCCTGGGGGGTTGGGGGGGCAGGCAGGAAGAACAGTCATGTACTGATGGAAAACTCCAGTTTTCTGGCTTTTTGGAGATTCTGGTACGCCAGACTCCTTCACCCACTGGGAAAATGTTCAGAAGTGCATTTTTAGTTAGAAGTGGATCCAGTCTTCCCCTGGGTCTTGTTTTAAAAATCTTTTGACCATTCTACATGGCATGGCGGACCCTAGTTCCCCAACCAGGGATGGAAACCACGCCCCCTGCATTGGCAGCACAGAACTTTACCCACTGGACCACCAGGGAAGTCCCCTGCCCTGGGTCTTGCAGTGGTCCTGGCCGCATCCAGAGGTCAGCTTTGTTCTGAGGGGAAACGGGAGTGCAGAGAAAGGGAGCGGGGTGAAGGCTGTGGAGACTGGATTAGCTGTGCAGTGAGTGACCCCTTTCCCTTGAGCTTTGTGGAGGTCCTGGGGTCCTGGGCCCCTCTGCCCTGCCCTTGGCCCCTCTGTTCATGGCAGAGGATGGCTAGGGGGTGTCTGACTGAAGAGGGCAGGGCCTGAGCTAGAAGAGCTTCCCTAAGCTTCCTTAGAATATAGACATTTGAACCAGAAACATCACCTTCTGGAGAGCCTTAGAAATGGAACTGAAAAATCCCTGGGTCAACACCTCGCCCCGGGTAAACCCAGGAACGTTCCTGTTCTTCAAGGGGAGGAGGGAGGCTCTGGGCCTGGCAAGGAACACGCTTTTGTTGTGTGTTTGCTCTGCTTGCTCCTAAACCTGTCTGTCTAGAAGCTGGTCAGGCCCCTGCGGGTGGAAACCTTGCGAGCAGGCCCTGCTGGCACGCCCGGCTGGCAGGGGCAGGTTCTCTGTGTGCTGCCCTCCTACCAAGGAGCGTGGCTGCAGCGCTGCCCTGAGCCGCCCCCTCCCAGACCTGGTAACTGCACCCCACCCCCAGAGAATAGACCCAAACCCCACTGTGGGAGATGGTTCTCTGATACCCCCTCTTCATCTTTTTTTTTTAGTTTATGTGTCTATTTTTTTATTTGTTTGGCTGCACTGAGTCTTTGTTGTGGCATGCCGGATCTTTAGCTGTGGCAGATGGGATCTAGCTCCCTGACCAGGGCTTGAACCCAGGACCCCTGCATTGGGAGTGCAGAGTCTTAGCCACTGGACCACCAGGGAAGCCCCTCTCCCCTTTATCTTGAAAAGTCATGTCAAGTTTGCATTTTCCTCCCTAATATGGCCTTTGACACTTTTTGACGGTGGACACTTACTGCTGAGTGAAATGAATGCTTCCTGTTTTCACTCCGCTTCTTGAACCCCCAGGTGTAGGCCAGTATCTCCTGCCACCCCTTCCTCCAGAGGGCAAGGTGCTTCGTGAGCAACTCAAGCTCCGGGTCAAACAGTGGATGGTCTGAACTCTGCGTTTGTAATATGTCTGCTCACAGAGAGTGTGGTTACTCTCTGAGGGTTATTTAGGGGTCTGGGGTAATTTAGGGCTCCACTGAGGAGCACTGGGCCTCCCTTCAACTCCCAGCTCAGGTCTGGGAGAGTCTGCCTGCCCAGTGTCTCTGCTCCATTCCCATTGGGCGCTGAGGTTGGATTTTTAACCACCGGTGGGTAGAAGGGCTTTAGGAGGCCCACGGAGAGGTTCTGGGCCTGGTTGAGCAGGTTCTTAGATGCGTAAATATCCTCGGGCAATGGGGGTGGGCCCAGGCCAGAGGGGGCCAGCCCTGCCGGTTAGTCCCCAGGCTCCCTGCCCTCCGCCCAGGCAATCGATCCTTCCACCTGAGGTTGCTTCAGGCTGAGGATGAGCTGTACTGGGAGACGGGGGTGGAGTCTCTGGAGCTGGGAACCACACCAAGGCTTTATTAACCAGCTCCCTGTTGCTAAGTGGCTTTCATTAGCAGGGGAAGGTCCGCCGCAGCAGTCAGCTTCTCTAGGGAATGGCGGGGATACCAATGAGCTGGA